TAAGAAACTAATTCAATAACATATTCTTCCTCACTTTCTTTCTCTGTGGGCTTAGTTTTCCAAGGAGCCTTCAGTTTTTGTAACCGCCGCGCATCACCATGCAGGACTGAAGAGAGACGCCGCCAGTATTTGGTTGGAGGATATTTCGCTATCATCATTCAAGCTATGTTTGAGAGAGCTACAAAATTACGCAGGCTCACATGAAGATATCTATGTTGTATGTAGTATTCATCTTTATTACTACCTGTCTCTCAGACATACATGTATTGCCCGGCGTTGTGACGGCGCAGTAAGTTTCTGTTTTCTATTTTTAGAACTGGTTGGCCTTCTTGTTTCTTCACAAACCTCTGTTCTCGGAACACAGTTCAATCTATTTTCCAAACTCTCAGTCACCAGGAGCCTGGAACAATAACGCTTTCTGCAGGGTCAGTATCATTATTTTATCTGGAGCACCCAACGTCGATTTTCGGAAAATATCTGTTCGGAAGACGATTTGAGATCTAGAATTTTCAGAACATTTGTTGTAAAATTTCTTGGTGCCTGCATCCCCTAGGATTTTCGAACATCTAAAAAGTGCCCATTTTTAACGGATTTTTACCCTAAAAGGTCAGAAATTTCGAAAAGGTAAGTTTTGATCCCTCTAATTTTCGGATCACTAGACTTTCAGCTCTGTAGGAAATCCGAACAGATGAAAAATTTTAGGGGACAAAAACAGTGAAGTATATTCTCGTTGGGTGCCCCTATCTTATATCTTGCTATACTTCCACGTTAAGTTTTAATTATATATCAACCTATTTAACGTGTGTTCATTTATTTATTTAGGACATTTCTTTTAGCAAAGTGTACAAGAATGCCCCAAGCGTATTTGTATCAGCGAATCACACTTCCAGTGGGGGAGGCCTCGATCCAGTACACAACTCAATAACAGCTTGGGTTGAGGTGAGTCAGAGATCTGCGTAGTTAAGGACTGTAAAATAAACTTTGAGGAGTTAGCGCCCGCGTTAGCGTAGTATTTGTTAACTAACTGAATTGGTAGACTTTCTGTCACGGCAATAAACCATTTAAGGATTATTTCTAGGAGGGGTGCAATTAAATCACAGCGTTCAAAATAAGTGAACCTACAGGCAGTGTGCCTTTCTTAGTTTCATTCTCATTAAAACCAGCGCTTTTGACTACATCAATTTATTAAGCAATGCCATTGACGTATATACCTTAACCCTAACAAACTAAAGCCTCGTCTAAAACGGACGCAACACTGTTGGCCAACAACTCCCAACATTGTTATTAGCAGAAGTCAAAGAAGAATAAGGAACAAGATGTAAATCAGATTCCTGGTACTTCATAGTGTAGCAAGCAAGTTGCTTGAACACCCTCCCCCCCAACTCATCCAACAACGCTGGGAGTTGTTGGCCAACAGTGTTGTGTCCGGATAATTGCACGGGGCTCAAGTACTTGTTGGTAAAACTGTAGTTAATGCAGTATCAACGGCAGTCACTAGCAAAGTACATTATATTGTCGATACTAAGAAGAAATGATTAAGGAATTGTGCATTATCAAATGCACTCTTATCGTCACATATCTCATTTTTCAGTATATCAACACAACAGGTGCTCGAGTGTGTTTAAAAGAGTTGCACGAGTCTAAGTACGACCCTCTCTCCGTATCATATACTGTCTTGTCAGGTAAGAACGGGTTTATGGAATTCTCGTTTTAGAAACACATAGCTTTTACTGATTACTCACAACTAGTTCATCATGAATGCATAAAGAGATAACTCAGATACGAGGGTCATTTCATTAATAGAGGAAGACGATCGTTTTAAATATTAGCTCCCTGGAAGTCGTTTAATGTTTTTGCCACTGATTATCCCATGTACGAAATGCTCTCAATTTGGCGTCGTCAGTTTTATTTTCCTCTTTTCCTCCTGCTAAGCGTATTGGCCTCACAAGCAGCTGGGATGATCTTTGTGAAGTTGCCTCGTCCCCAGTCGCTAGCGTTGCTTGCCTCCATTTTTTGCGCTTCTCGATTGTTCTGTTCTCGCTTCTATAAAGGCCTGGGAAAGGCTGTGGAAAAGGCACTCTTTAAGGGACCAAATGCGTGGGGATTTCTAAACTGCACAGTCGTTTTATATCTTTATCACAGATATTTGCCAGCCAAGATGGAGTTATTTTGGTGGCTACTGTTACTTCACAAGTCGAGCATGTGCCTCATGGCTTACCGCTGAGTCAAACTGTTCTACGATGAGTTCCAATTTGGTAACGGTTCACAATCAAGAAGAAAATGTCTACATTCAACACCGTCACAACGGAGAGAGATCTTGGATTGGGCTCAATGACCGAAGTGTGGAGGGCTCCTTTGTGTGGACAAACAAAGAAATAAGTAGTTTTAGGTTCTGGGCCCCACAGCAACCGAATGACTGGAAAAACGAAGACTGTGTTCACACTCTTGGAGCCAAGCATGGTTACGCTTGGAATGATGTGCCTTGTCATAACTGCTATAATTATACTTGTTTTAAAGGTACGAGGCATAGTAAGATTTATATCTATGTTAATCCTCATGAACCAGAAAGGCTTCTAGACATTTTTAAAAATGTATTTTTTTAATTTAACAAGCAAAGAGCACATACAGCATTTGATTTTACGCAAAAAATGATCGAAACAGATTGCATGGAAAAGTAGCAACACCAATCAGACTAACTGAAGTTAGAGTGCTTTCGGTATTGGAGAAATTGGGGATTACCACCTACATTTTACATAAAAAATGTCCATTTATACCAAAAAATGGCCGCAAGGGCCTGAAATCGGAATCACAAATTGATTTAAAGAAATATTGGAAGTCGAATTTACATTCCACCATTTTGTCTAGGAAAACGTTCCGTTGGCGTTCGGCGAATATTAGGGACCTTACGAAACTACGGCGAAGGCTACGGCGACGGCTACGGCGACAGCAATGTCAAAAAGCCGGCAATAGGTTTAGTTAGAAAAACAACAACTCTGCACGTGCATAACGCTTTTTTGTACTGTAACATTTCTTTGCCTTCCGTGCACGACTACGGCGTGAAATGACCTCAAGGTTTTTTGAGGACGGGAACGGCAACGCGATAAATTCTACCATCTCTGTCTGAAATCGGGTGCGGCCCTCTCTCCAGCTCCAACATAAATTCCCTTATTTTAAGTAACTGGGAGACTTGGGATAATCGCAAAATTGTTTGGAAGGATGCGGAGTCTACTTTTCAGCGAGGTTTTCATGGACGTCGCCGTTGTCGGATCGTAAGGTCCTTATTTTCCACTGTAACGACGGGAAAAGTCGTGCTGACCTCTATTTTGGTTTCAAGACACTTCTTTGCAAATGTTTAACAAAAGTGAGTACAGGGTATAGCTAACGACCCTTTTTCGCATGTTCCTTCCTTCTGGCATTTTATTTTCCCTTGCTAGCGCGCGTTAATTACTCAAATACCCTACAGTATATAAAACTTTACTTTTTAAACAAGCTTCATTAACTAAAAAAGTCATTTCGTTTCTACAAGAAGTCTCTGCGTGCTTTCTTTTATAGACTTGGATGAATGTACCACTGGTTCGGATTCCTGTGACGTCAATTCTGTATGCCAGAATACAGTGGGCTCATACACATGCTCGTGTAACGCTGGGTACACAGGAGATGGAAAACCTTGCAATGGTATTTGAAATACAGTCGAACCTTGCTGTGAGACTACAGAGGCGGATCCACGGGGAGGGTTGACTGGGTTGTAACCCCCCCTTGTCTGACTACCCAGGTCTATCCCTTACCAAAAGATAGTATGATAAGTTAGTTCCAGTCCAATCGATAATTACAAGAAGACTGTAGCTATTCCTCTTCTCGACCCCTTAATCATCAGACGAAAATCGCCACGCCCGCCATCTGCTTTGTCTCGTGCCATCGATTACAGTAAATAAGGCACTGCAGCTGGATGATGAAGTAGGTCCTGGGAGAAAGACATTTCATTTCTCAAATCCCTGGGAAATGAGGTACGTAGATGGAAAACACTCTGACTGGCATTCAACAGATAGGGAGCTTCCAAAAAACCTTTTATTAGCACTTGGGGTTTGCGATGAAGATGATTTTCCAAACATCTATAGCCCTCTGGTCATTGCATGCACCTACCCGATCACAAGCGCAGAAGCTGAGCGATCGTTTTCGCTGATAAAATGAATCAAGAACTGCTCTAGGTCAACAATGCCTAAAGAGCGATTATCTGATCTTGCAGTGATCGCCATATACTACTCCGAGAGATTCGAGGTAGACAAGATATGCCAAGCCTTTGTAAAGGCTCATCCAAGAAGGCTCTTTCAAGCTAACGCTAGTCTGTTTGACTAAATAGGCGGGTAAAAAGAAGACAAACAACTATCGTTGTTGCACTGTACTCATAGTCCTTAACAATAGTGCCTCAAATTTATACCTCTGAAAGCAAAACGAAGAAAATCTACACATTCTACATATTCAAACATAACGCTAACCCTAACCCTAACGCTCCCACGTCCCGCATTCTTTTGGCCCTGGGACGTTTGCCTTGAACTCCCATACTTACAACCCCCTCTTTGAAAAACTCCTGGGTCCGCCTTTAGACTACTCCTCTGCCCATAAGCGGAGAAGGAATTACAAATATCGTAAATTCCGTAAAATAAATCATTTTCAAAACAAAAATAGAAGTTTTGGGGCCTGACTAATGGGATATACCACCTCTCGTCCCATTCTCGTAAGCGACCACTAAATGTTTGCATTTTGGGTGGTCGCTAAGGGAGGTTCGACTGTAATAATTGAAGAGAAGACACAAGCTCAACACTGTCATGTCGTTAGTACCTGTCGTGTGGGTAAATATAATCAGATTTTGTAAAAATAAATAAATAAATAAATAATGATGATAATACAAACAAATACACGATTTTATCGACCGGATAAGAACTAACAGATCGATATAATATCACTGATTCTAACACCCTATGCAATTTACTCGTTCTCATGCAGATATCGACGAGTGTTCTACCAACTCTCACAGCTGTGGTGCCAATGCGGTGTGTAGCAATACTGCTGGATCGTACACATGCGCGTGTAAAGCAGGATTCACAGGCGATGGAAAAACATGCTCCGGTAAGATGTTGTGGTAATGTAAAAAATGACTTTCAAAACGATCTAAATGTGATTCTATGCCCCTCTATTTGCTATATTTGTTCAGTACATGAAAAAATGTAAATAAGAAAAAAAGAAAGAAAGAAAGATGGGCATAACATAAATTATATAAAATTTCAATTCATGTAAAACACAACAAAACGAACTTAAAGGAAGTTGCAGAAAACAATTAAATATAAATAAGTATGATGGCCTTAGCTGGAGTCACTCTTAACAAAAAAATCTATGGTATGGCAACTGAGCCAACAGGGGCATTTCGCCAGTTATGTTATGAAAATCGCTTTGGCTCGTTTTTTTTCCTAGAGAGGAATACTCCCTGTTTTTTTATTGTTTATTTTTTTTTATTTCCATACTAGTTCTCACTCTTAATATTTTGCTATACGGCATTTGTAGTTAAATAGGATTAATGTCACAGCGTAAACGAGAATACAATCATGTATATATGACCTTACTGATAACTGGATCTGCTGCATGACTTACGACAAGGTTTCGATCCTCACGTTTTTCCCTTAGACATCGACGAGTGCTCTACCAACTCTCACAGCTGTGACGTTAATGCGGTGTGTAGCAATAATGTGGGATCCTACGCATGCGCCTGTAAAGCAGGATTCACAGGCGATGGATACACATGCACTGGTGAGGCGTTTAAGTCTATATTTGTTTTATATACTTGTTCTTCGAGTAAACCAGATACAACAGCAATGCAGCACACTATTTGTACTCTTCTTGCCCTTCCAATAAAATGTTTGATTAGATGGGAAAAAATGCAGTAAAATGGCCGCTTGGAGTAAGCCAACAGACAGGCGATGTCAAGCAGACAGATTATGGAAGCAATGAATTAAAAATAAAGTACAGGCGCTGGTTGTACAAACGCTGGAGAGTGCTATCCAACGGATAAATCACTATTCAGTAGAAAAGTATTAGGTTATCAATTGCGCTATCCACTGGTTAGCGATTTATCGACTGGATAGGGTCATCCATCTTTTGAACAACCGGGGCCAGGTCGGCAAGAGGCGCCAAGTCGTAAGATGTGTGTAGGTACGATATTTTTTGTCCAATAAGTTTAACAATATCGATTGTTCAAACCTGCGATCATTTCTCTCTTTTATCAAGCTTAGACTAATTAATTGCGTTTAACTTGCTTCTCCTTTGCAAAGAATACGGTTATAAAGGTTATGATTACACTTACTTGTATTGTATTTATTTTTTGTAGATATTGACGAGTGCGCCCATGGTACTCACAACTGCCACAGTTCACTTGCCTCATGTACAAACACAGTGGGATCCTTTAGTTGTTCATGTAGCAGTCCTTACATCGGAGATGGCAAAACTTGCATTAATATTCCATACGGTAAATAATCACCAACAATTAGGAAGATGTCCATTTACTAGACCCCTATTTACACTCGTTAGAAGCATGTGGCTTTAACCTTGATTGTTTTAAGAGGGTTTCAGTTTAATGCTATTATTACCCAGATCTCTTGTCGACGAAGCCGAAAGCAAGATCTGGTCAATCAATCAATCAATCAATCAATCAAATTCAATTTCCTTTTTTTATTAGCCACTCAAACTGCATATATATAGTGGGAACTGCATATATATAGTGGGGGAGTGGCATGAGTATTGACATCAGCGCGCGCTATAGTGTCTGCAATATTTTTTTTTCTGGTCTTTTCCCCTTTTGCTTGCCTTTTCACGACGCACGAATACGTGTATCATGACCGCCTTTGCACAAGCCAAGGCCCATTAAAGAACATGAGAAAGGAAAAGTTTCTTTTCAATAATTTGTAGTGAATGCTTGTATTGCAACAGTTTACTTACTAGTGATTTCCACTTGTAGGGATAGGATCGTCCCTACGTCCGGTTAGATTGTGCTTATACTCGATTATTACGTACTTGACTAAACCAGCCTTTTAATTACTATTTGAGTTTCTCACATTTCTGGATTTTATTGTCTCCTGCAGCCTCTTATATTAAGCAATATTTCAAGATAGCGGTTTTGGAATTAACGGACTAATTCCTATAGACATCACTACAATAATACACTGCAAAATGGTAGTCACTTCTTGGTGTTGCAGAGAAAAAACTGATCAATACCCACAACACAAAACAAAAGCGGCGGTTTCCGCAACACCAAGAAACACCGAAGATATTCAGTATTCAGAATTCAGTACTCCGTAGAAAGGTGCAAGAGTACGATATTTAGTCGCCATTTGAGCAAGAAAATAGAAGAGGAACTGAAACCTTACGACAACAACCACATAAGCTGCCATGAAATGATCGGATGGACTCATGATCAGTGGCCAATTTAAAACTTTGAGCATCATCGATCAAAGGGTTCTTGGTCCATCTTTTGCGAGAGATAAAGAAACTTCACCATAAGAAATATATGAAAATAGCGCGTTGCAAATCCGTTACACAAGGCGAATAGTAGCGGGGTACTACATACTTGAAAGATCCAACCAGCATAAATCATTTTGTCGTTAGACCCTTCTCACGCGAATGGTTTAAACAGAAGCAGGGGAGTGAGATTGGAAGGGGCCACAAGCTTGAAATCTTGTTTCCTCTCAATATTATTTAACAATATATTACCGTTTCTGATTGTCTTTCCCGCCGCTAAATCCTCACAAACGGCACACAGTAACCATATTTGGAAGCCGATGCAGGCAGTACCCAATCGATGGCATGCTCCTTCACATCATACTTAGCCTCATTTAATAATTGGTAAATATATGAAATATTGGTGACTCAATAAAGGTCTGAATAGAAGAGGAAAACTTTGAACTTGTTTCCGCCATGTTAAGGTGGGGAGTCGAAAAATCATCCACATTGATCACGTCGAGCGAACCATTACATTATTCACGATATATGAACTACTACCGTTCAATCCGGAGAATTGATTTCTCTAATTTTGCCGATTAACTGCGAATGCGGTCAACTTTAACCGTCGAGACCCAACTGTTGTCTAACGAAAGGTTCGGAAATAGATCCTGAGAGAATGTTCCCCTAAATCTTAATTTGCTAGTTAAATATATAGTATCTTTTTTATCTTTGTTACTATCTTTTTCTTTCAGTATCTAGTGTTTGGATTTTATTTTTATTCATTTACGGTAACTTTTGAGGGAAATTCAGTTGGCTAAATCTGCTTTCCTTCCCTTACAGTGTATTTTTTTTCGCTCTTCCTTCCCTTTACCCTTATTTATTAATTCTGTTCCAATTTATTTTACTACCTTTAACCAAAAACGCCAAACGAAGATAAATGCGACTTCAATTAGTAATGCATTTGTACCGTGCGCAAGTCACTTTTTTTTTTTTACATAAGGAGCTTTTACAATAGAAAGCCACCACAGGAACGAGAACCTCATAAAAATCATAAATTTAGATTAGCAACTTTGCCAGTTTATTATGCTTTTCAGTAATGTGAAACCTCCTTCAAAACGTATCTGTATTCAGTAGGGATATCGTCCAATGGACTTCACCCACTCACTTGGGGCGGGGGTAAGGGTAATTCAGTCCGAGGTCTGAGGAAAAATAAGAGTTAAAATGTCTGAAACATTTCATGTAAATACTAATAAACATAAAATGTTATGTACTACGGTCATCCCAATTTGCAACAAAATTAAAAATTATTTGCAAAAACTTGTTCACAAAAATGTCGAAGTTTTTTAACTGAGAAATCACCAGACTAATCCAATTCCTCGACTGTTTATTGATCGAGCCAAGAATAAGTTGATGAAGTGAGACGCAAACAATTCTTACATGTACCAGTCACTGACCGGTTTGCAATTCCGCAAAACTTAATCTATATCAATTCCCATTATGTTGCGTCGCATCGCAGTTAGATGTAGTGACACTCTCTTCGAACGTTTTTCCCTCTTGTACGATTCAGAATAACTGTGGAAATTTCTTTAACTTGGATAGCCGTTTTGCGAAGGCAGGTAGACGTTTAGGGCCTGTTTACATGGAGGTGGGGCTTAGGTAGGGTAACCCGCATGTCCATAGAATCTCTCATATGGTCACCGCCACCAATCATGTAAACTTGATCAAATTAAAATGAGACACTATATGGACAGGCGGGTTACTCACCTACACGTGAACAGGTCTTTAAACTGTGTACCTGAGGTTGTACAATGTATTTGCACTTTTTGAAATATATCTGATCAACCTTTATTATTTTGGCTTCTTTTATGTTCCCTTTTTATCATTATTACTATTTTTTAGTTAAAAAGAGAAAACCGTTATTTAGCAACCCTATTGAAGTGAAATATTTAGTAACAGTAATAGTTTATCAGCCTACCCCATAAAATGGCTTTTCAGCCAACTTTACAGGGCCTCTAATATTTCGCGCGGTGGGGGAGCCGCGAAATTCAGGTAAATCCGCGAAAACCCGCAAAATTCACAAAAACACGCAAATACCGCAAAATTCGGTAGAAATCTTACCAAATACTTGTGTGTACAGCAATTCTGAAACTTGTCTCAGCTACTGGGGGAATTTACTTGCCCTAAATTCGCAAATTTATGTCAAAACTTCGTCACTGAAACGCGCAAACAACGTTCCGAAACTACCAGGCGTAGATTATGTTACGAAAAACTGGGCACTAGCCATGATGTTAAAGGCTTTGCCATTGATTCATTTCTGAAGCGTATTTTTGTTGAAAGAGCAAGTGATGACCTCTGTTAGAAAAACATTAAAAACTCTGGTCTGATCAGCGCACAACCGATCGATTTCTAGCGAAATTTGCCCGGAAAATAACCACAAAATCCGCCGTTTTTTTACCGATTTCTTTCCGGCCAAGTTTGCTCCGAAAATTCCCGCGAAATCGGTTAATTTTTCGCGATTTTGTCCCTACAAATCCTCAAATTTGACTCTTTTTTCCGCGACATATCAGAAGCCCTGACTTTAAAATTGCAATTTGATAATTAAAAGCATAATTATCTACCGTAGTTGAAATTTATCTGGAAAAAAATGAAATAAGGAAATGACGCTTCTTCACCTCAGCCTTAAGCTGCTCGAGATTCTCTATATTACCTGAAGATTCTGCAAAGTCATTCCAGAAGCGGACCGCTCATGGCCGCTGACCGGCAGTGAATCTAAAGGAAGGCATGTCTAACTTGTTTTTGTTTCCGATATTACGAGAGTGCGCATCAATCATTTTCTTAAACCTGTTACAGATAAGGGGCTGCGGGCAAGTCCCTTAATATGTGTGAAATAAACTCACATTTTTTTAAGAGGGTGCTAATAATGGGGGTACCCAATTCTCAGTTAACTACTAAATTTCTTTTAGCTATTAACTTTCACTTTCCTACAGCGAATGTTATTCCGTCATAACCCGAATTTTCTAAAATCAAGGTATAAATTTACATTGATTTGCATAAACTCCGCTAATAGTACAATTTATAAGTAACTGAAAATATAGAAAAGAACATACAATTATCTAACCGAAGTAGTAAAAATGGGTAAGCGATAGCTATTAAGACCCCTATTAAAATTAGATTAAGTCGTATAGCCATCAATATGACACCAGCCTCATAGATCGAGACGCACCAGTCATGATCTCGCACTGATCTTCCCGACCTGGTCATGCATGTCCTCCCATAAACTACTTCAAAATTACAGAGGCATGAAAGTATTTGACAAGGGACAATTCGATATTTCTTGAGTGCAACCCTTCGAATTCGTAGTTCTTTTGAAGCGATTCCTTCATTGTGGTTCCAAAGTCTTGGGCGTAGTTTAAAGCACTAAATGTTTTGTGTTGAAGTGAGAAACCGCGTGTAGGTTTTCCATCTGTGTTGTCAGAAGTTTTTTGTAGCTCGATACAGACTTTGTCGACATCCTCTTTCGCGTCCCTGTGTTACCTTTTTTTTTACAGACGTTCCTTTTTCGCGCGTATTTCAAAAGCGTCATAAAGATATCCAAGGGTTTTAATAAACGAACCTGTTTCAGAAAGATAGGTTTAAACACGATCTTAATAGTCTCGATAGTTAGAACTGCAACATCAGTTACAACAATGATTTTTCGTAAGTACAAATTACATGTACTTTAAAGAAAGATGTTGATTTCTTTGAGCCATCAAAAGATCTAATGCTTAGAGTTGGCTTTTTTCTTTGGATGCGGTAATGTTTAACTTGACGATCTTTTGGGTCCGTGAAAACAGTTCTTTCCTTTTACGAACACAAAAATCTTGTTCGTTGAGTTGTCTACAACCAGCTGCTCTATGACTGACGCTTTCTGTTTGCCGGGTACTGCCCTGGTGCCTTTTGCGCATGCTAGTATGTGAGGGTCTCAATGGGGTTAACCGATAGGCGTAAAACGGCCAAAAATTTAGTCGGTAGCCGTAAAAATTGAAAAATTTTAACCTTTAGCCGTAAATAGGGTAAAAAAAAGTTAACCGTAAAAGAAATTGTTCCCTAGATTTGCTTCTTTTAAGGAAGGTACTAAAATCACTTATGGTTGCGTTTTTTATTTCGCGACTAGTGTGGCTCCGTACGCACGTTAGGTAAAGCGCCTTTTGGGTGAAGACCAAGACCCATTTCCATTTCCGCCGCTCTCGGGGAACTAATTTTTTTTTCCATAGCGAAAGTGTGGCTTCTTGCTGGGGATTAATATTTGCGATTTTCAGGAGGTCGAGCCCTCGAAACACTAGTGAAACAACGCTAAGAGATCTCACTGTTTGTAAAACAAGTTGCCGATAAACAACATTTCCCCGTTTTTCTCTGACGCTACGGTAGACATTGCCATGCCTAGTCCCTGTACGGCGTCCTCCCACGCAATTTCGGTCAAGGCATTTCGGTGACGAACTCGCTCGGACTACGTGACCCGAAACGCATTAGCCGCGCGAAATAATAAGGCCTACGGACAAGGAAAAACGACTGACAGTGGTTTCGTACAGTCCTTCGCTACCATTAGAAACACTGGACACGGGAATTTTGTTTTTGGCCGTTTTCACACTAGAGCTAGAAACGGATTATCCGTCTGAGACTAGCCTGTGTACAGTCGCTCCCTTCCCGACAGACACCCCCTCCCCGATTTTTTTTCTGAGCGGAAGGGGCGTTTGTACACGGGCTATCTGGAACGGATAATCCCGTCTTCAAACTGTCCGTCGAAGTTGAAGGATAAAGTCAGGCGGATTGTTCATGCAAAATTAAAACTATTCCATTTTCAAATTAAGACGTATTACCTATCTGACGCGAATCATCAAACGGATAACCCGTCTCACACGAATAATCCGTCTTTAGTGTGAAAACGGCCATTTCTGTTGTAGTGAATGTCGCACCCCGGCCTTGAGTTAGGCGTTCGGGTGTGTGCTTTGCTTTTTCACAAAGATTATTTTTAAATTGACTATTGACATTTTTATGTGTAAAATAATATTAGAAGTGGACTACTTTATAAAAAGTATGATCTATCAAATGTTAAAATTCTTTAAAAAAAGAATAGCTTATTTCATAACCCGAGATGATCCTAAGACCTTTATTTTGCTTTAAAGATACAGGTTAATTAATATTTAACTTTTTGAAACAAAAGAAGTTAATTTTTAACCTTTTTGTTAACCGTAACTGAAAAAAATTAGCCGATAGCCGTAAAAGAGCCAAAATTTTAGCCGATAACTGTAAATGCCACCACCCCATTGAGACCCTCGTATGTGTTTAACACTGGTCAAAAAGTGTTGGGGGGGCGGAGCATTTGGAAATGTGGTTGATAAAAAACACATGGCCCACCCCCTCCCTTCGGCGCAAAAATGACTGACCCACCCCTAAAAGCAAGGTTGGAAATTCCATGACCCACCCCCTTGTTAATACATGGATGTTTGGTTTCCTCTTAATAATCCAATAAAACCTTGTTCTGTGTTTGACAAAATTTGTTGATACACTGCTACAACCAATATCAAAATCACAGAAATCATACCTTTCACTGAAAAGACAAATGTGAAACACCGAACATTATATGAGTCTTGATCGAGTCTTGACACAAATATACAGCAAAACGAGGGTATATTGAAATTGTCTGTCTCAAAACATATGAAAATTTCTACATAGACAACTCATTCCCACACATTACTTGTCGGAAATGCCTAGGTTAATCCTCAAAGAAAATTTCTTCCACTTCAATAGAAAGCACTACTTACAAAACCATGGAACTGCAATGGGCACACAGACAGCAGTTTTGATTCCTTTGCCAATATTTTCATGACATATATTGAAACAACAACTCTAAGCAAAACTGTCTTTGGGAGTGCTACATACACGATATCCTTTCCCTATGGGACATGAGTAAACCAGACATCAAAGCCTTCATTGAAGAAGCAAACTTACATCATCCAACTATTGAATTCGAAACATTTGACACTGAGACTGCGTTTTTAGACACGGTTGTATACAAAGGCACCAGATTCAAGGAAAAATCTATCCTTGATGCAAAGACACATTTTAAACAAACTGAAACCTTCTTGCACACACATTTCACCTCGTGTATAACCCTCCAAATGTTAAAAAAGGATTTGTCAAAGGAGAAGCCTTGAGAGTCCTATGAAAAAACTCCTCAGAAACAACCTTTTAGGAAAATAATTCAAATTAAAAAAAAAAAAAAAAAAGCTTGATGGACGGAGGCTACCCACAATCTTTGATAGAAAACCTACTATCAGAAATAACATTCACAAAAGGGAGTCTATTCTCCTAAAAAGAAACAACAAGGAGAAAAAATAAATATGGCCATTCGTGACACAATACCAGCCCTCTGGTATTCAGTATGAGAAAAAATACGGGTTAAAATGACTGAAAGATCTAATGTAAATACTATAAATAAACATATTAAAATATTAAAAAACTTATTCACCAAAATGTCGAAGTTTTTTAACTGAGAAATCACCAGACTAATCCTATTTCAGTACTGTTTATTAGTCGATCCAAGAATAAGTTGGTGAAGTGATTCTTACGTGTAGCACAAGATCACTCAGTAAGAATTTTGTTTTGTTTTACTGTTACAAAGGTAAAAAGTAAAAGTATTTTATACGACATCACGACGCGCGGGATTTGTGAGTTTTCTTAAATAGCCACATTTTCATAAACTAACTGAGTTCTTCCTCGCGCGTTGATCGGATATTTCTATCAGTGCGAAGAGGACAGACATGAAATTTTAATTTCTGCAAGACGGAACACCCGCTTAATACGGACACCCGTATATAATGGACAGTTTCTAAAATTTACCCTTTAATACGGACACCGATGAATACGGACACAATGGACACTTTTCTGTGTCCTGAGGCACAAATCCTGTCAACCCTGCTATTTACGGGCACTGGCTATCTGCGTACCGTCTATTTTCCTTATCACAATCACGCGCTATTTGTAGACATTTTACACTGTCCAAACAATGACAGAATTCTGGTTTTAAGTAGCAGAATAGCTTGATATGTTTTATTTTAAGTCCGTCTTTCTTTTCGTGTACTATATAGCCATTTTATGATTACTACTCAAGTCTCACTTCCTTGGCTTTTCGGCACAGTCATTGTTCCTACCCTTCTTCCTCTTTGTCTGCCATAGTCTTTACATCAATACAAGATGTTTCGGGGACGTTTTTACGGAGAGCCCACTTAATACGGCCATCCGCATGGTACGGACACCATGGCATGTCCCCTAATGTGTCCGTATTAACCGGGTTCTACTGTTAGTAGTTTCTTTTTGAAAGGCAAAATGTTTTTTACTGATCCTTTTTCCAAACTTTTGTTAAAGTAAAAAGCAAATTGACGCCAGTTCCGCAGCAACATTGTCAAATTTTCTAATAGATTCACTCCCCTGGGGCTCGCGCTCGTGGACCCACAACACTTTGACAATGTCATGATGCGATGTTATGATCAATAAGAGGACAGACGATAAAGAAACTAGCGTCAATGTGATGAAATGAACCAATTTTAGTGCATAAAACTAGAAATACGTTTTCGCAAAAATCTCGCGAAGCTAACGGGGTCAGCAGTGAGAATAAACAGTAAAAAGCCAAAGGGTAAAAAAACGATGAAAGAAAAAAAAATAGAAGTAGACACGCCGGGGTTGGAAGCCAGCTGCACCCCAACTTCCTCCAGCGAAAAAGTGCGGCCTCTGACCACCGGGCCATGCGACCACTGTGCCCATGACTCATCATAATTAATAGTGTTGAACCTTATGGAGCTGTATTTATCATGAATTCAAAGATAAATTTGAGGAAAAATAGCTCAAACGAGTATTTCAAAACCATTTCGCATTACTTCCGTGTTTATTCACTCTCGGGCTTTAAATAGGCCGCTCGATTAACGGAGTGGTCTTCTTCTTCGCTGCTTTCGCTGAAGTTCAGGTCACCTTTCTTTCGGTGCTAAACCTTCCACGGCAAGGACTTCCACTTGTCCAATTGAGCACTGCTGTGTTTGCAGCCCGCTGTTATTTGCCTCAGAAATACTTCGCGATTCGCCAGCTTACAATAAACAGAGGATGAATAAAAAGTCTCTGGCCGAGTTGCCTGGAAACCCAAAATGCACGATGACGTGCATTTGGCGTCTTTATTAAATGTTTATGGCTTGTTGCTAGGCAAATGCGGATACCAAACCGATAGAAAGATTTATGACCAAAGCGAAATCGCAGCTCGCTTGCAATCCTCGCGTAACCCGCGCGCTGCGCGCGCCTGCGACAAAATTATACACTCGCTTCGCGAGAATTATTATTTAACCTACTATTTCCCTGCTTCATCGTATGTAGCAGAGATCACTCATCCATTTACAATGGCTGATCAAGGCAGCTAAAGAATGCCTACAGATATATTTGTCTCCCTTTCCCATGTTATTGGTTAACCTCGGTCTGTATATCTACCAGTGTGTGAAAGCTAGTAACCAATCCTCAATTTCTCGTAGGTAGACAATTATTGCCACAGTGGGGCAGGTGTTGGAGATCTTACAGGACGTGAAAATTACCCACTTTGAGCCTGTTTATGTACAGTAGATAAAACTTTTCGAAACAAAAAATTACAAAAAATATCAAAATATTCAATGATTTTCTAACTTTTTAAAAGTTAAATCATTATTTCTTTATATATCAGAATGTCAGAATTACGGAAGCCTTAACAGTTACACCAGAAAGATTACGTACTCCTACTCCAGTGGCAGTTATTGTGACAGTGGAATCGGATCTGGCTGGTTTCGTTTCGAGGGGTCTGCCGGTACAAGAATGCTAACTTCATGTCCACCGTATAACAGATGTGGCACTCATGCAACCGGCTGGTTGAATGGTGGACACCCCACAGTAGCAGAAGGTCAGGTCAGCAGGACGGTGTGTTTTCACTGGATTAGTAGCTGCTGTGATTGGTCAACAAACATAAAAGTGAGAAATTGTGGTTCTTATTATGTGTACTATCTTAATGGTACACCTGGGAGTTCTTGCAGTCTCCGTTATTGTGGCACTAACTGAAAACAAGGTGCAAGTAAAGTAATACATAATGCTATCAAAAAAAGGAAAAAAAAAGACTTCAATATTTGAATTTCTATTATAACTTAAGCAAACGGAGAAAAAAAATCTATATAGCACTTTAATATAGCTCAACGTACTACTCCAGTTAACAAGCAAGAACAGTTTTCTCTAAACTTAAAAAGAGGATATTTTATTTTTTGCTTTAAGTTGTTTTGAAGATCAAGTAAGAAATACAATTATAGATAGAACTTACCAGGAAGACAAACTAGGTAAAATAACACATTCAATTAGCAATACAGGTTTCTGTGTCATTTGTCTCGGTAATCAGAAATATACACGGAGTCCAAGAACGCCATGTAGTTGCTAATTAAACCGCGATGGACAGATGTTTTACTAGTTAGGAAAAGATGTACCGGGAAGTGCGGGATATATATGAATCTGCTTACTTGTTTTAATATTGATGGGTATAGGGATGCACTTTGTAAAATCGGAAACGAAATGCATAGCGACTATAGGTACAGTCACTCTCGTCTTGCACGCACATCAGCAGTACGAACAGCAGGTAAATTCCCTTTCTACTGCAGACTCTTGCTTGCTAATAACAAGGACACTAGCCCTGCGGTCCCGATGGGGACTGCATTAGGTTGGGCAATTATTGGATTAGGATTAGAGTTTGTTTAAGAAATAAACGTACAATTTAGTGAAATACCTGTCACATGTGTTTGTTCTCATTTAGTATGACAATAGGCTATTGGTATGAATTTGTAGGATATTGATAATTGTGATTTAGCCTGTTCGTGAGGGTTGTGCACAGGTTTGCTATATTTTTTCCCACTTGTCTATTAATAATAGAACAAAGAAAAGCCGCCGTACCTTTAACATGCGGATTAGTTTGCTTGTTTTGATTATAGTTTTATATGTAAACAAATAAATCGACCCTTACGATGTGTCTGTTTTGTCATTCTGTTCTTTACAAGGTTGAATTATCGCTTTAAAAGTTTCTGTTTCCTTTTCCTTTTCCTCATAAATCACACTAAGCAAAGTTCTAGATATAGATTAAAATCTATCTTGTTGAATTCTCAAAGCACGTGCCATCAATGCACCAAGAAATGTTTTATTGCCGGTCACTGGGGCCTTGCCTGTTTTGATAATTTCCCTGGCATGGAAAAAGGTGGATTTTTAGGTTAAAACGCCGCATCACTGAATGATGATATATCCATTCTGATTTTCCAACAACTAAACAGCCCACACCACTGAACAAAAGCTAACAAAAGCCAACTGCAGAAGAATCAATTTCAGATCAAAATAATCGTTCTAGCTATTGGATTTGTCTTTCGTTCAACAATAACTTTCAACTTCAACTTTTAACTTCAGTTATTTATTGCTTCAGAGCGGTTTACAAACTAAAATTAACATACTATAGCTAACTATTAAACAGATTATGTTTACAATTCGCTAAAATACCATTACCCGACATGATTGACACTACCCGCAAATAGCACAAGCTAATCGCGGCGGGCAGTGATAACAATTTACAGAAAGCCTAGAATCAGTTAGATGTCAACATTTCTATAAAGCACATAAACAGATAATTAATTAAATGAATAAAGTAAAAGACAAATTCACTAGTTGAAGCACACAATTCTTTTTGAAAGCTAGCTCCATTACAGACAGTAATTGCGATAGGAAGACATGATTATAGACCACGCGTTCTTGGAAAAAGAGCTGCTGAATCCATATAATCATCCTCAGCGGCGAGGATTTTCAGAAGTGAATTATGAATTTTTTGCTTAAATTCCTAGCGAGAGAGTCAACGTGTAGCGCGCACTACTTAGAGAATTCAAAATGACGGGTGCTTGGGAAACAGGCCTTGAATGTCCGACTCTTAATGAGTATCTATATGTACAGAGGGAGAAAAGCGAATAAGATGTGGCAGGAAGTCTTTCTTTTCTTAAAACTGAGATATAACATACAGACAGTCGGAAGCCGTTAAAAGAACCTTGTAGTTAAGCTTAAAATGTCTGGAAGGCCTTAAAAAGTCAGCTCAACATTCATGTTTTAAATACAAACATAAAAAGTGATCCGCGCATCCCGTTTCTGGCTAATTCGCCAAAATCCGCCAAAAAAAAAAAAAAAAAAAAAAACTTTAAATCCGAATCCCAAGTACCTTCTTAATTCAAATCCGTTATTGCACAAACAAATTCAAACATACTACTCTCTACCTGCAATAAAGTAGTTTTTAATTTCCATATGTATTTACAAGTTCCAAGTTTAAAGTCCTTCCCTAGCTTTAATAGTTCACACTAGACAATAGTTCAGAAACACTTTTCCAATAACTTATAGAACTGACAAACACTTATTGTACAAGTTGCATGACATATCGGCATTACTGAAAGTGCCCTCAAGCCGTCGCTGCAATCTTACAATTAATTAGTGTGTGGCATTGTTAAAATGATAGATCAATAAAAACAGTTTGTCTCAATTTTTAGTTTGTTTCATTATGAAACTAGCTGCTTCTCTTTGTAAAGCTTAGAATTACTGTAAGACCCAACGAAATAACCCTTGCAATTAATTTCAGTGAAGACCTTTTACGTTATTCGTGCAGAAGCTGTATAAGCTTGAAGTAAGGGTTGTCTGGTGAGTCATTTTGCCGAGATACTTAACTTGCAGGTCATTTTCTCTGTTACGTAGTGCAAACTGACAAATACACCAGGCACTGCACGCAAACTATGTAATTATGTTCAAGTTTCGTAAATGAGACTGTTTGTGATCCAGAGATCAGTTCTTTATAAAGCTAAAACTCCATATAAACCTGAACTCGTACCAAACAGGACCGTCCGCAGTCGGCCGTCGCCACACTGGGTGACCTGTGGCTTAAGATCATTTTGTGCAAAACTGTCGACAAGGATAGACCGGACCTTGAAGTTCTAAAAATTAATTTCGTTATTTCTTTATTTATTTTTTTTGTAATAATATTAAAGAATACTTTTGAGGGCACAACTTCCTTTAAAACCTTATCGTTTAGCTTTAATGATTCATTTCTGAACAACATAAATTGTACAAATGAATTGTCCGCCAATCCCTTCTTGTTAAGCTTATACCCAAAAAACAAAAGGATTTGAAAAAAAAACAATTATATCCAGACAGTAAGAAAAGCCTTTCCTTCTATTCACTTCACTCACGCTATAATTTGACAGGGCTGATTTGAATTATTTTATGGAGAGCATACGAATGGATTTCAATTTTAAGGCGTAGACAGTTTGCTACTTGCTCGTATAAGTAAAAGAAATACGAATAATTAAATGATCATTGCATGATCTGATACTTCTAGGAGTGGAACTTAACCCGGCTCAATTATCTAACGATGATTTCGTTTGAATCAATGAAAATACTAGATCACGAGAATTTGATAAAAGAAGTCAGCCAAATATCTGATAGACTGTTAACGTTCCCTATCAAAGGAAAGGAAAAGGTAAAGAAACAAAATGAGCATTTGTAAAGTTTTTAAGTTTCAACTGGCTTTTCTGTAAACAACTACTGCGACTGGAATATATAAATTAATATAATTGGCAGTAAGATACTTACCCACTAAACGTCTCATGAATTCCTTTTTATTTCAAAAGGGCAAAAAAGTCAGAGGGGGGCAATTGGGTGAAATAAAGAAGCGCATGGGTGTTAACATTTAAGCTTTACTTGCTCTCAGCAAGGGTAATTATAATTTTAGCCAAATAGAATAGATCAACTCGACCAGAGTCTCCATATGGTAAGTCTATGCCGGTAGGTGGTTTCCCCCCTTTCCACGACCTCAACGCTAGGACCACGACAGATTATATCCATTTAAGGTAAATTAGTGCTTCACTGCTCCTTACTGTCCACGCAACAGAAATGATGCCTTCACGTGAGGACAAAGTGTCTATTATTTGCACAAGAGGGAGCGGCATTTCTTCAGTTAATTCAAGATGGTGGGAGAGCAACACCTTCCGTTTGTCCTCTACGCAATTTTTACTGCTGTGCTTCTAATTGAAGGAAGTCAAGGTATATTGGATAATTTTTTGTTTATTAAGAATATGCGCTCTAATATGCAAATAGTTGTCGGCAATTTTCTTTGGCAAAATAATGTGGAAGTTTCGTTTCGAGTAAGGTAGAAGGCATTGGTGGTGGGGCACGCACGGAAATAGGAAGGTACTGAATACGAGCTTATACTCAAACGTTAAGGACTCTAGCTACGCTCAGTGCGTGTAACTTTTCATAAATCCATCAAATGCAATAACCCAGAGGTAACAGGAGGCTATTTTAGCCTAAACATTTATTATTCTTTTACAGAAGTCATTTTCAAAGCTGGAAAAATCAATACAACTACCAAGAACACAGGGTTGTTCGCGTGTGAGAAAATCACATTCGCTAGACCGTTCTCTGGTGGAAAGCAAGTGAAAGTGTTTGCTTCGTCTGGACACTCAGTAAACAGCCAAATCCGTGGTAATGGTGCTGCTATTTGGGAGGAATCAGTAGACAGAACTCAATTCCGCGCTTGCATCTACGAGTACAGCAACGGCTCAAATACAACTGCAGAGATAAACTGGATTGCCCTACAATCTGCCCCTTCGGGGGCACAACTAGGAACTACTTCCTTGGAATCTTGGACTACCGGAACAGAATGTAAGAAGATCTACTTTCCTCAGGTTAGTTTAATTTTGAAAATAATATGTTCACTGTGCAAAGTAACCGTGATTGATTGCAAAAAGGAAGAATCCAGAACGGTCAGACAAAGTGGTTTTGGAAGATGAGCACAATAACGATATGCATAAGGTTACTACTCATTTGGAGAAAATTTCTATTAATCATAGTCTGGAAATGTATCATTTCTTCGAGTTCTTAGAAAGATGTATACTAAAAGAGAGTTTTTCCTATGATAAAACCATTGAATGAACAAGGTCAGTTTGTTAATGCATCCTTCTCCCTTTTTCTTTTGCTGCATTTTGATTGTTTGTTTTTGGGACGCCCAGTGTTACGGCTAAGTCATACGCGCAGTTGAATGTATTAGAGGAGAAGGTAGGATAAGTTGTTTTGATTGGCCAATTAAAAGTTGATTGTTGGTGTGGCTCCCTGCTAATCGCACTCGGCCTTTACCACACAAATGGAACTTTCATCTTGCTGTTGAACAGCCAAATCCGATTTCGTTTTGCAATAAAGGACATTCTTGGATTCCTGACAGATGACACTCTAAAATAATATTATTGTCAAACATTTTCTTTGGCTCAAACGCAAAGAACATATTAATGCATACCTCCTTTGATGTTGAAAAACGTTGTCCTGACCCTTCATCATGCAATTATTTGTTCAAACGCTGGACGTGTGTTCACTTCTGTAGAATCATTTTCCTATCCGACAGAACTTCTTTAACATTATATAACAGACACATAATGATCGATTTGCAACGCATTTGAATAAAGAAATATTAAGCACAAATAATCTTTTGGTTGACACTACGCTCTAAGTTGATTGATTTTTTTTTTTTATGCGTGGAATAACCTACTAATCCGTGCAATTACCAATTCACGAACTCTCGCAATGACAATACGAGCCACAAGAAGGCGAAAACTCGTGTAACACCTTTCCCTGCCCCCTCCAACCATAAGACGTTTGCACGGTTATGTAGGACTCCAGGGTGTATTAAACTTAACCAGCCAACCTTTCAACACCAACCCCCACTATTCCGAAGAGTGATGTGCTCTTCATGAAATACACTTATACCTACCCATATAATCCGTCATACACTGACACTTGCATTCACATACAACAAGTCTTAAATATAAGCAATGAAACATTGGCCTTTATAATGGTAAAGTTAGTTTCCAATTGCTATCTAATCTATTAGTTTATAAAACAATAACACGGAACGCATCAAGCATTGTTTAAATTGTTGTAAGTTTTCAGTTAAAATGAACTTAATTTAGAAATATTAAGTTGGGAAAACAAAGAGATTTGGCAGTCAGTCACCGTGTATGATTTATTATCTTTGGCGTTTCCTTTGTTAAAGAATTTGATAACGTTGTTCTTCAAACGCGGTGTGCGTGCCGGTACCAAACGGAAATACATTCTAGCTCTCATTTTTTTTTTTTGGTCACTTTCCTCTGTCTAGAATTTTCAGTGCTCTTTTATTTGTAATTCAGCAAAATTTTTCTCCTTATTTTTAGCACTATAATAATAGTATAGTATTATTATTATTATTATTATTGTTATAGTAATATTATTACTTGTTCAATTTTAACTAATCCTTTTTTCTTTTTCTTTTTCTTTTTTTTTTTTTTTATTTAAAGCGTTTTTTGACCTCTCCAACTTTACTTGCAACTCCAAGTCACCAGTTTCCTGAGAGACCTCAAGACGCCATGGCAGTCTGGGTGGAGGAGTTGACCGAAGACAGTTTCAAAATCTGCCTCAGGGAAGTAAAGATTTTCGACGGACTTCACAAAGGCATTGCTATTGTGAGCTTGAAATTTTAAATTGCTTTTCAAAGATCTTTTGAGATTTCCATTCAATTATTTTTTCTGCAATGAGCTGCCCAAAGACGCTTATTTGCTCTTAAGTTTATCATAATCACAAGAAAAATGGTCGAAATTATCATAGATTTGTAAAGTTCTTACGTATTAAGTTATAGCAATAAATAAATATGCCAAAATTTTAAGTCCAGTTCTTTTTAATATGTAATTTCGAATTTCGTAAAACATTGAAGAAAAAAATACATTCCCCAAGTATATTTCTGTTACCATTTACTGCTTTGGAAGTCAGCTGGAACGCTTTCTAGCTTGAACCTTAGTATAAGTAATTAAACCATTTAATGAGCTATATTTTAGTACTCGTTTAAATGAATTGAAATCAGGTTCCTTCTTCCGTAAAACTTTAGTGTCATGCAGACCGCGGGGAAGGGGCTTTTGCCAGGCTCCAAACTTAAGGCTCATACTTAATGAATACCAAGCTTAGCAATCTTCCTAAAACTTGTCTGGAAACATTTGTCCCCAATGTCAAAGTGTCCGCTGCCTTGGAATTTTCACTTTAATACGTTTCTTTCTTTTTTTCTAGATTTTCTGATTGGCGTAAATGATAAAAAATTGTTAAAGAGAAAATTGTAAAAATGCAATCTAGGTTTTTGAAGAAAATTAATGAACAGAAGTGTTGAGATAATTTTCCAAGAATGTTCATTTCCCCTGAATTTCATTGCTGGCACATTAAGTTTGCTTTCAGAATATTCTTCTACACACAAATAAGCAAAACAAATACATTTAACTTGTTCAAAATCAATTAAACGGTGAAAATGTATTCTTCAAATATCCTAAGGGTGTCTATTTAAGATCTGCAATTCAGGTGCAGTGTTCAGTTAGTTTTATTTGAATTGACAACAAGATAGACTCTGTAATATCGGTAAGGCTTATCGCTACGAAATTGTTAGAAATATTCTTTAGTGGGACAAGTGTCTTCAGCCTTCCCTTAATGACACGATAGTTGAGTTGAATTCAAACACTCCATCGACGAAACTGGATTGAAATGCTCTCATTTCTTACAGATGCATGCCCGATTGAAAGTTCCAGTTCCTCCTGTTCATCATCCTGTCACTTCTGTTGTTAAGGGCATTAATCAGTGTCAGCCTACTTCGCAATTTAATCAGACACCTTCCCATTTAAGTGTTTTCTATTACATTCAAGCTGAAGTCACACTACATAATTTTGTCGGTCAGTTTATCTCAAGATGTTAGATATGTTAAGCATTTTATTATGACCAAATTATCTGGTCTTAGCTATATTATCATATGCGGTTTTTGAGTTATAGGGGGCGTGCTTCTAACTCCCCCCCTTCAGCTTAATAGCAGACACCTGATTTAGTAACATCATATGGCGAAAACGCCTTCAAATTTCTAAAATATGATTTTTTATTTCATTGCTACAGAACTGGATGGCTTATACAAACCTCAGTATTGGAAACTTCACATTAACTGACAGCCTCTTATTTACGAATTATAACTTGTTATCTCAGCAAGCTAACCACGCCTTTTGCCAGGTACGAAAGTAAATTGTTATGTTGGTAAATGGCCGGAGCACTAAAATTTATTTCCATTAAAAAATTAGAAGACAGGATGATGTTCCTTTTTAACAGAACCAAAAACAACTAATCCTTAAGTTGTTCTAAATATTCTGCATTGTGTGTTAATTCATGGTTAGGAGTAGTCTGCGAAACAAGTCGAAACTTGCTTGTTAAAGTCTTTTTTTCATTTTATTTATAATTCTCATGTTTTGCCATTTATCTTGAATAAAAAAGTTGTTTGTAACAAGCTATATCTTTCTTTGACAGCATATCAACTTTACAGATGAATTCTATGCTCCTCCTGTGGTGATAGTGACGGCAAAACGCATCAATAACGATTCGCGTTTGTCTGGATGTAACGCAATCACCGCTTGGGTCGAGGTAAAATTGTTTTACAAACTTGCAGATAGCAAAAGATTAATTTAACGTTGAATCTTAATAAATATGATCAATCCATGCAGTGATAATAGAAAAGAAATCCCAGATTGACAAGAAAGACAGAAAGTGTAAGAAAATCTTTTCACAAAGTTTAACGCCACGCTAGTATCTGTTATTAGTGGTTTTCACGTGACGTCATCAAAATGAATACAAATTCATCAGTTATAGAGCAGCATAACCCATATTTTTACAAACTGTCTATTCGAAAGGGCTCTTTATAGTTTTGACGGTGATAAACTACGCTGTTAATTTTTAACCTTTTGCGTGACGTGGCATTTGAAGGATCTGGAAGGGCCTAGAAAACTGTGATTTGGGTTAGAAAATTGTCTCCTTTTTTTGAGATTGTGCCATCCCAAACACAGACATTTTTGTTGGTTTCTGACCGCTATATTGGTGCCCCTCTGAGGAACAACAACATCAAGTTCTGTAAATTTGGGGAAAAAATTGTATCAGTATTTCCGCATAACAGGAAATATCACAAAGCAGGCCCGGCCAGGGGTTTTGGGTATACGGTATCCCGAGCCATTTTAATTCAGGTATATGGTATTTTTTGGTCAAAATTCGGGTATAAAGTATTCAGTTTTTCCTGAATTTTAGGTATTCGGTATATGGTACAGACATCACACGTATAATTCATTTCTCAGTTTTATTATCGCTCTAATGCTCACTAAAAATCGTGTGAATGCTCGAAATTGTTACTGATTGGCTTACTATCCCAGTCCCCCACCCCCACCACCTCTCCAATCGCAAAACGAATTTCATTAAGGAAACCCTCCAGTGCCTACCAGGTTTTTAAGCGAAATGCCCAGTCTGATAGTACTAGCTAGAAAACTCCTTCCAATTTAACGAGATCTAGAAAGATCATCTTCAAACCCAAGGAACAGCCATGGACACGAAAATGGCCGTAGCCTTTGGTAACATCTTCACGGCCAAAATAGAAAAAGAAATACTCAGACAGAGCAGCATTAAGCCCATCTTTTGGAAAAGGTTTATCGATGACGTCATATCAGTATGGAACACAAGCAGAAATTAAACGAAATAGAAGAATTCCTTCCAAAGGCAAACAACTTCCATCCTACAATCAAATTCACGGCTGAAATATCAGAAACAGAAACCACATTTTTGGACACGGAAGTGTACAAAGGTGTCAGATTCAACAAGGATTCTATCCTTAAGGTGCGAACACACTTCAAGCCTACAGGGAAATTCCAACACACAAATTTCTATTCGTGTCACCCACCATGCGTCACAAAAGGCTTCATCAAAGGAGATTAGCTTAAGGCTTCTAAGAACAAATTCCTCTGAAATCACTTTTGAAGAGAACATGAGGAATTTTTTTCAACACGCCTAAAGAATAGAGATTACCCAGCTACAACTGTAGAAAAACATCTCTCAGAGGTCATTTTCGCAAACAGAAAGAAAGCACTAGAACAGAGAAACAAAAATACACGTAAGAAAATACTACCCTTTCATGCCCCTTGAAACGCAATACCACCCTGCGTTGCCCAACCTCAAGAACATACTCATCCATGGGGAAATAACCTCAAGAACATACTCATCCATGGGGAAATGGCACCTTATACAGAACCAATCATACCTGAGAGACATCTTTAAGGAGCCTCCCCTATTTCATATCGCAAAGGAAAATCCCTAAAAGACACTCAAGTAAGAGCTAAAATATAAAGGTTTTAAGACCAATCTATTTGCGAACTGCAGGAGTCATGCAGGCTGGTCAACACTTTTAAACTCTGTTCATTTTCAGATATTTAGTATTCTGTTTCAAAATAATTTTAGGTATTTAGTATCACACATTTTACGATTTTGAGGTATATTGGTATCTTGGGGGCAAAATAGTGGGTATATTGGTATCCCGCTACCCCCCGCTGGCCGAGCCTGACAAAGGCCTGAGTCTTTGCAAAGGTTTTATGAATATATTTATTTATCTTCTTTCATTTCCCAGATTCTGGACTTTCTTTATCACACAGAATCGATTTCCATTTTTGATGGAGTGACAGTGATAACCGGTTCAAAGGAATTGGAGGATGAATAAAATGTTCAAACCAAATCTTTTTTTTTTTAGCAGCTACGAGTCCTCTTACTGATTCCTAAACATTCAAACAACTTTTTATATCTGTGGTTAACCGTGCAGTTTTCGTCAAAGTTTCTCATCACCTTTACGTTTTGATCGTTTGTTTAGTAAAATTTTCAACACTGCTTTGGAGTAATAATGTTATTAACAGTCTCGATTTTCTACCCTTAGTACACTTCCACCGCAAAAACAGAGATTTGTGTTCGAATCTATAAAACCAAGAGCAAGGATTCCATAAAAGTCGATTATCTGATTACTGGAGGTAGGTATATCACCCAGTAATGTAATAATCGGCCACTAATGTATTACCGAACCACTAATGTAATAAAAAAAGTTAACCACTAATGTGGTAACATTCTAACCTTTAATGTAATAAAAACCTTAACCACTAATGTGATAACTTTGCAACCATTCATGAAACAAACTCAAAGAGAACAGCTAATTGTTTTTTTGAGATTATCAGGATTTAGAAGATCATATGGTGCACGGCAAAAAAAAATAATCATACGACCTCCTGCTTTGATGTCAGGTAATGCCGTTTCAGCGCAATAAGTCATGTAGGACTTGTTCCATACACTTGTCCCCTTTTACTTGAAGAATTTAAAATCTACTTCTCTTGAATTATTTCTTAGCTAATTTAGGCTCTAGTTTTAAGACTAATATTGTCACTTTGTTTCGTTAACACTAACAGATCCTTTAGATAGAAGATTGGTGTTTAATTTATAAGCGTCAGCTCAACATGAATTCCCGATAACAAGAATGATAGCATCGATCATTCACCTCACTGTTTTTCTCTTTCTCTCCCTCGCCATGTTCGGTAAAATTTCGTTGAAATTAAAGTAAAAGCAAAAAAAAAACAGCATGAACAACAACAATACTCTTATAGACCAAATCCAAATCTCGGTATAAGCACTTTCCGTTAGATATATTATGTACACAAAATTAATGATAATTATGCATCTTTTGTTTTACACAGACCTGGATCCTTGTATAGATGGCGTACACTGTGATTATCATGGTCTATGCAAAGCTTTTGGGCCATACGATGCCCGCTGCGTGTGTATAGACAGTTGCCCATCTTATCAAGAGCCTATCTGTTCTTCTAACGGAACGACGTATGACAACAAGTGTCTCTTTAAGCAGGAAATGTGTTTGTTACAGTTGAACTTTACTGTGCAGCATCCTGGGAGCTGTGAAGGTATCAGTGATCTCGTAATTTATGGTATCAATTGCCATTTAATTCAATCACCCAAAATTAACAACCCCTAAAAAAAGAAACGTCAAAAAGTCTTCACTAACAACGTATCGATATCACATCTTCTGAATCTCTATCATCAGTACCAGTTGAAATTCGTTTTAAAGGTATAAACTGATTATTAAAGCGAAGCTGATCTCTGAACATATCTCTATAGCAAAAGCAGAAACGAGGAAATTTTACCGTGGCACGATTTAATTAAAGCAAAAAATGCGTCGTTTTAGTAACGTAAAATGTGAAAAACTGAGGTCATTTAGTAAGGTGAACAGTTTATGACTTAAAAAAATATATAATCTTGTCTAAAGAGGAGCTCGAGACAAATCGCCTCATGATAACTCGAACTCTCCCATTCTTTTTTTTTTTTTCTTTACGTTTGCGTTTTTGTACGACTTTGCAGGGTTCCCATTTCAGCGTGACCGGCGTCACATGCCTCATATACCTTCCTTGGGATACTCTCACTGTGAAGTAATTGGTTTCCGACCATTTGTGTTCTACCCTGATAAACCCGTTCAAGTGCAGGTAACTGTCAATCACATCGATACAAGGGACACGAATTACGTCCACGATGCTGCTGTGTCGTGGATTGAAGATGTGACCTACGAACAATTCACTGCGTGCGTGATGGCGGCTGGTTTCAACGAGCGCAGGTCCCGTGCTAATGTGTCCATAGACTGGATAGCTTATCAAGGAGCCCCAGAAGGTGGGATCAGTGGAGAGGTGCGCATGTCACAGTGGTGGACTGGAACAACATGCAAGACAGTGCGTTTTCCTTCAGTAAGCGACTTTTTTCCACTTCTCTAAAATGTGCTTTTACTTTATTCATTATTACCTTGGTTTGTCAAAGTTTTGCTTGGTTGCGCTGAATGACAAGGGAGAAAAAGAGTGATTTACACGCAAAAAGTATAGTTTTATACCTACGTTTTAGCGACGACGGCAAACCTCCCTGAATTTCGTCGTCGACGAAGGCTGGACGACGTTTTGACAACTTTACGCATGCCCAGGTTCGCGCGGCAAAATTTCACTTCAATTCCGGTCGGCGTCGTCGTCCCATTTCGTCGTCGATGCTTAAAGTCCCTAATTACTATCGTTCTACTTCCAAGTTGGCCAAGGCCTAAATGTAATAAAATCCTAAATGTAAAAATATTTTGTCCTAAATGTAATAACAACTTGCCCTAAATGTAATAAACTCTTTTAAGTTGTCAATTAACATCTGTACAGTAATTTCTCGAATAAGCACCGCATTTGGGGGCGAGGAAGTTTAATAAGCGCCGCGGTGCTTAGTCGCGTAAATACGGTACTAAGCGGTATTATTATGGTATTAAGCACTGCCCTCAAATAAGCGCCGTGGGGTTAATTAGCGTAAATTCGGTACGTTTCTTTATGCACTGTGGAGTAGTTCTAAATCCGAAGCGAAACCCTAGTCTATTTCGACTATAAAATTGAATTGGATTTGATGCTCAGTTTCCTGTAACCTCGCAAAAAGATTTTGGAGTAACGGTTACTGGTGACCTTACGTGGAACCAGTACATAAACAATGTTATCTCATAAGTAGTCTGTACAGTGTTACTGAACAGTAGCATTTCTTCGAAGACACACCTGCCGCGATTTTGACACTAACAGACACCAGAAGACGTTTGTACCTTACATTCGACAGATCTCCCCTGAATTGTGCCGGTGAGATCTGGCCACCTCAATCTATAGGAAACATCTCTAAAGTTGAAAGTCTTCAAAATTTATGTTAAACTTGAGTTGAATGGAATCTACCAGCTACCAGGAGAGGCTTATTAAACTGAACCTCTTGCCTATTCTTTTGTTATGAAATCAATGATCTTCTTTTCAATTCTACTTCATGCAGATGCCGATTAGGTCACTACAGTATCTGTCATAATGATTTGGTACAACAGCTTAGTATTAGATTTGTCAATTTCTAAGTGCCGCACTACATTGTTTTAAACTAGTTATTTTAATCGTTTACTAATTAGCTATGGAATTATCTCCCAGAATCTATCTCCTCTGTTTCAATCTCTGTAAATACAAATTCGTCAAGTCCCTGAACTCAATGAACACGAACAGCGTGCCTTGGCTAAACTTTACGACTTCAACATTTTCAGCACGTGAAAATCAATCTGCCCCAAGTGCTGCGTTGCAAGTAACATTGTATGAACTAATATAATGCTGTTACTAGAGTTACAATTAATGTTTTTTTTTTTGTTTTTTTTTTAAACTCATGATATTTTTTAGCCTCCTTAGCAAATAAATATTATTATTTTTAGCTGTTTATGGATAATTTAATAGATTCAGCGTACTTATCTGGTCATTTATGAAAATAATTTTTTCTTAAAGGCGCACTTTAACTGAAGCCTCGCTCTGTTGTGTCACTCTCGTCATTGTTTTTGTTTTTACTTTGCATAATTTTTATTTATTATTTATGTTTGTTTTGTAAAAGGATCAAATGCTGCACTACGGTTGTGTTTTCACTAGGGCGATTAACTAGCTGAACATTCTTTCTAGGATTTGTTTACAAACCGAGTTTTACTAGTTAAACGTGACAACTGTTTTCACTGTGGCAATCTAAGCCACTTACTCAGAGGATTCAAATTGCAAAAGCGCGCCATAATAATAAATGAAAGGGGACGAAGTGCTTGTAATGACTTCTCGTGTGATTATTTTCGCTGTATTTTTGCGAAGGAAAAGGAGTTTTATTCAGCAAATGAGGCTTATGTCCTTACAAATGAGGAAGATGCGACGAAATCTTTAATTCTGTCAATGCAACAACGAAACAATATTCAGTGCCATAACTGGGATAAGCGCAAGACTATGTGGGTTTATCCGTGACCACAATTCTGATTTAAGGATCTGGCCGAAGAAATAGACAATGCAGTGGGGTCGGTGGGATTGTAAATCGAAAGAAATGACTGTTGGAATTGTCTGCCATGTTGAATTTCTCAAGCTCAACCAAGAAGCAATAGCCTCTGGAAAATAATATTACCGGATTATTTGGCAGGCGTCTGTCACTACGCGCGACCCGATTGGCTACAGCGTTTATCAGGACAAGTTATACCATCTCGCGAGGTAGTATAACTCTGCGTGAATTTCCGCTCGTAAAGGCGAGAAAATCCCTTGTTTTTGCTTGTGAAAACAGCTTGCATTTTTAACTAGCTAAAACCAAGACGAGGTGTTTTCACTGTCTTTCCGGACTTTTCTGGCTTTATCTAGTTAAAATTGTCCTAGTGAAAACACACCCTACAATACGTCAACATACGCACACAAAGAATAAAAGTCTCGCTCAATATACGCACCATGTTAGAGGATGTGCTCACAGTTCGGTTCATGATACATCCAATTCAAAACCAACAGACAAGTACTTTGTTTATTATAATTATTATTTTATCAGCCACAGTATGCGGTCATAACACATGAAAACAGGACAACTGTTTTTAAAGTACACATGCAGAGAAAAAACGGAAGTGTGGACCTCAATTTCCAATATAAACGTATAGTGCCTTCGTGTTGTAAGCTTCCTATGAGACATTTCCTGCTTGAAGGAAAACTAGTACGAGACGCCTTCTTCACTTTGTCTTTGTTACTACCTAGCAAGGGAGTGTTTTAATTGATTAATTAATTAATTATTATAAAATAAGTTATTTAAAATATTATAGATTTAAATTTTTATTCACAACATGGCTTGCTTAGAAAATGTGATACAAGTAATTTTTCTGTGTGGGTTTAGTTTTCAAAGGAGCCTTCAGTTTTTGTGACCGTTGCACATCACCATGCCGGACTGAAGAGAGACGCTGCCAGTATTTGGTTGGAGGATATCACGCGATCCTCCTTTAAAATATGTTTAAGGGAACTGCAAAATTACGCGGGCTCACATGAGGACATCTATGTCGTATGTAGCATACTTCATTTTTTGCCTTTTTACGTCCTTTTCTCAGCATTATATTTGTTGCGCGTTGAGTTGTGTCAAATTACATAATGTAGCGAATTTTCTCTCTCTTTCCATTTTTCTTTTCTTTTCTTTTTCTTTTTTTTTTCTCTTTTCGTAGAACTGGTTGGCTTTTTCGTCACTTGACAAGCCCATGTTCTCAGAACACAGCTCAGTTTATTTTGCAAACTCTCAGAAGCCTGCAGCCTGGAATAATGACGCATTCTGCAAGGTCAGTATAAATAGTATCTCGCTTAGCTTTTTTTTATGTCACGTTTTCACCATACGTTAAGTTGACGGCTCTTTTCATCGATTTTGAAATTCATTGTATGTTCTTTTATTAGGATATTTCCTTTACAAAATTGTACAAGAATGCCCCAAGTGTATTTGTATCAGCGAATCACACCTCCAGTGGGGGAGGGCAGGATCCAATGCACAACTCCATAACCGCTTGGGTTGAGGTGAGTCAGTGACTGCTAAAACTTGTGGAACGGCCTCACATGCCCGTAAGGAGTGTGAGGTGAGAGAAAAAAAACCGACTGTCCGTTTTCCATGCAATGAGTTCGTTCCGACCAGGGGGTTCAAAACTGTCGTTGAGCTGTCAAAAATCTGTTCGCAACTCCGCCCTCTTTGTGAATCTGATACACTTGGTAACTGATTTCGAGGGAGAATAGCGCGTGTTATTGTCTGCTATTGACGCTGTAATCCAGTAATTCTAAAGCAGTGTATATGGTGAAATGTAGAATATATAGTGGAGGATCAAAAATGAGTGGAAGTGGTAGTACGACAACAAAGCCTATGCCTGCTCCTCGAAGAGGGAGAAATGCCGAAAGAGCCGAGCGCTTCGGATAAATTGTAGAATGTGCGGCTGTTGTTTCAAAACACAGTTCGGCAATTTTACGAGTGGATGGATATGCTCGGAGAATGTGTTTGTTTCGCCTACCAGAAAAGGGGAAGCGTTACCAAAGTGGGCCGACCCACTGAAAAACGAACTTTTCGTTGTCCTCGAGGAAGGAGAATCTTTCTCCACAAGCCGAGTTTGCTCTCCGTGCGGAACAAAGGTTAGAAACTGCCCCGGGAAACTGCACGGCGATGCTTTCGCAAATTAGAGAAGAACTGAACACGCCAACTGACGATGAACAATTATTGCGATTGAAAAGAATGAGTAAATCCTCTCATTCCAATCCACGTCTTGGTGATTTAGCTCTGTAAATCACTATCTGTGAGAATTTAAAATCCTGCTAAAAAACGCTAACGAGCTTGGCCCAGCGTGACAAAACATTGCAGGAAAAAGTCACATTCACGGACACAAAGAAAATCGCTGAAAATTATTCAAATCCAGGAGGCACTTTGGAGAATAGAGCAACCTAAAACCCTTAAGTCGCAATGAAGACCTTTACATTTCTAAAAGGGCCAACAAAGAAAATGCTCTTGCATCAGAGGGCAAATCATGACGACCAGAGAAAATCAATATGCCTGTCACGACCTCTCAGTATGAAATATATTTAATAAGCGGCCAAAATTCACATTTGCTCAGTCAAAACGTTTTCCTCCAAAGCATAATCTACTCGACAGAGAAACAATTCACCGGAATAAGCAGCATTTTTGAATGAGGTAAAAGTCGTGTGTTTCCTACCGATCCCCTTTTTTTAGCCAGGCGAGATAAACATGACGGTCGGCCGTTGCACCGAACTTGAAGAACTCTTTGCATGAACAAACATATGATAAATAAGGCTTTTGTCAAATCCTGTTGGTAGAACACAGAAAACATCCTTTCCCCTGAGCAGTAACTCCAAAGCTTCCCTCTGCTCCGATTTTAAAACAAACCCAGTTCTTGCGAGCAAATCCGGGCGATCAACAGCTATCAACATCCGTCATTTTACGGCTTTAGCAATTCATCACGGTAGGGAACATCGCGAATGACTTGTTGAAAACATTACTTGACAGCTTGGTGACAGCCTGCATCGAGATTTAGCCAATGGGAATTGCCCGTGGCTGGGAGAAGCGGGTAATTCGAACGAGTATAACGTATGCAAAACGGACAGTCCGTATTTTTAGCGTCTCTCCCCAGTCTCGCTCTCTGTTTTCAGCCTCGTTCCAGACCTTTTGTTTGACTGCTCGCGCGTACTTGAATGCGCAAAAATACGGACTGTTTTGCAGTCTACATCTCTTTTGTTCCCGGGGGATTTCAGTGAGAAGACTAAGACCAATGGTGTGCCAAAATGGCAGCAACTTTGAACGTTTAAGAAAAAATTCGAAAAAAACACAACGTTGTGTTCGTATCGCAAAATTTTTCCGCAGACGAGGTTCTCGCAGTAATGCGTACTTTCAAATAATAATACCAACAACAACAATAATAATAATAATAATAATAATAATAATAATAATAATAATGATAATAATGATAATAATAATAATAAATGTTAGGTTATGGGCACTTAAAGCAGTTTCAATGACGTAATGATTAAACGCAGTGCTTTAAAAGTAGATAAAACGACAAACAGTAGTCAGTAGCAGATTAATTTTTGTCGAGACTAAGAAATGATAATTTAGGATTGGTGAATTAAAAAATGTACAAAGGATCATCTTTTTTTATTTATTTATTTTTCATTTTAATTTTTAGTACATCAATACAACAGGGGCTCGAGTGTGTACAAAGGAATTGTACGACTCAAAGTACGACCCTCTCTCCGTATCATATACTGTCTTGTCAGGTAAAGGGCGACATCCTTTTTTTCATAGATAGAGCTAACTTAATATTAACCAACAATATTAACCTGAAAGGCGGTGCTTAAAGTAGTCCTAAACCGGATTATCCCAGCACCCATTAAAACGTAGATGACATTGCAAGGGTGGATTTCTTTTACTGAGACGCCTCGGTGTGACAAAGTTTTATTTGTTGCAGTTGTGAAGCACTTTTTGAACTTGATGCGCATAAATTAGTACACTGTATATACTTTTAGTATGGTTTCATGCAGCTTTTAAGTGTCTTTAGCTCAGATTAAAGGTAGGCACTCGATATATTTATGTTTATCAAACGTAAGGTACATAGAGTGATAACTATCCGAGGTAATTGGGTATCTTAATTCCACAAATGTTGCATCTATTTCCCAGGTATTTGCCAGCCAGGTTGGAGCTATTTTAGTGGCTACTGTTACTTTACAAGTCGCACTTGTGGCTCGTGGCTCACTGCTGTATCAAACTGTTCTACGATGAGTTCCAGTTTGGTAACAGTTCACAACCAAAATGAAAACGTCTATATTCAACACCGTCCCAACGGAGAGAGATCCTGGATCGGACTCAATGACCGAAGTGTGGAGGGCTCCTTTGTGTGGACAAACAACGAAATAAGTAGTTTTAGGTTCTGGGCCCCACAGCAACCGAACGACTGGAAAAACGAAGACTGTGTTCACACTCTTGGAGCCAAGCATGGTTACACCTGGAATGATGTGCCTTGTCATAACTGCTATAATTACACTTGTTTTAAAGGTATTAGGCATACCAAGGTCATTAATAATTATGTTTTATGAACCTCAGTTAGCAGATAGTGCCCCAAGTCATTCAACTATATTAACTTTGAATTACGTATTAAATGGTTCAACAAACATGAGCTCAGGGCAAGCTTTGTAAGATCCTTTTTGCGAGTCACGTTTTTCCCATATGTTATTTTCTCTCGACAGTTAGTTACACGGCTGTATACAAAGGAAAGGAATTCTTAACTTTTAAGATAAGATAAGATAAGAGTAAAGAGTGTTTAATCTCTTCACTATGTGATTTTCCCTTTTAGACTTGGATGAATGTACCACTGCTTCCCATTCCTGTGACGTCAATTCCGTTTGCCAGAATAACGCGGGTTCATACACATGCTCGTGTAATGCCGGGTACACAGGAGATGGAAAAACCTGCAATGGTATATTAGATAATAAGTAAACTGAGGCTGCGTCCACACGAATCCGGGTACTTTTGAAACTACATATCCTTTTACCCAGACTCGTGTAAACGGGGTCTTAAACCACTCTGAACGGTTTTAAAAAAAGGTGCGGTTTCGGTGAGCGAATTCACTGGTTTCGTGATGACGGAATGCCGATTCGTGTAAACAAAAAAAAAAAAGGCCAAAAGGCAAAAGGCAGTTCTCAAAAGTATCCGGTTCGTGTGGACGGATTCTGAGAAGGCAATAAAGTCAAAAAATGGCTTAAGGGTGCAATTCCTACACGGTGTGAAACAAACCCTTAACACTGTCACCTGCCTTGTTTCGCAGAAAAAAAAATAGATACTTTGACCTTAGCGACCAAGTGTAAACTATCAGGTAAATAATTCAAAATACTTCTGCGTTTCTGATTGCGTTTCAAAACCAGCTACCGTTAACCAAATGTGGAAGATGTTTGCAGATATCCTCAGAGATGAGACTTGTAAGACATCCCCGGAGACCTAGGGGCAGTTAGTTACGCCGTTTCTCCTGACTCGATTGAGGCCCCGGCTACACGAAACTGGAAACCGCATATTTCTTTACACAAACGTATTCGTATGGACTAGACCTTAAACCTATCTGGAGCGCGGTTTAAAACAGATGCGGCTTCGGTCAAAAGATTCATAGGTGGACGAAAGGCCGGTTCTTGTTAAAAAAAAAAAAAAAAAAAAAATAATGGCTGTTCCAAAAATATCCGGATTTGATTGGAACCTGGCTTGACCGCCCCTGGGTTCCCAAGAATTTTAACGGTTAATTATTCATCAAAAAAGGACGGCCGAAGGCTTGGTAGTTCGGGTTTTGTAATGCTAGAGAAAATGGCGAAGAAAAAAAAAAGAGCCGAACTACTGCCTAACGACAAAGCAAACAAACAGCAAACATACCACCCGACCGATGACAGCTGCTCATGAAGATAAATATTTTCCGGCTAGACTAAACGTACCCTTATATCCTGAATTTTCCGAGGAAGAGGCAAATGTTATGCAGACGAAACTTTACATCGATGAAGAAAAGCATGATTTAAAGTTTTAAAATACCTTCAATTAATAAAAAAAAATGTTTGATTCTGCTTTGTATGATATGAAAAATTATGCAGGTCTCGAGGGGGTGGGGGAGGGGGTAAGAATAAGGAAGCCGAATCCAATAATTGCTGAATAATTGATCAAAGTTACGCTGAACTACCATCAGGCATATGTAAAATCTCTTATATTCACGCCAAGCTTCACTACATTTTCCCAGATATCGACGAGTGTTCTTCCAACGCCCATAGCTGTGGCGTCAATGCGGTGTGTAACAATACTGTTGGATCGTATGCGTGCACATGTAAAGCAGGATATTCAGGAGATGGAAGAACATGCACTGGTAAGGCGTTTTGATCTCTTTCTAAGGTTACTTAGAAGAAAGGGAATACTGTCAATGACCCCTGTAAACTTGTTAACTCGAGTACAGACCAGAAAGGTTTTTGGTAGGTCAGACAACAACGAAACCAACAACAGAAACAATCATATAATGTACTTTGTTAAATAGGAGTTAACTTAGAGTACCGGCTGCCTGGTGTAGCCATTACACAGCCATTAGTAGCGAGGTAGCCAGCTGATGTGACCATTAAATGAAAATAACCCATGAAGCCCGTAAGCAGCAGTCTTTCGCGTGCGGGGTCGGGGGCGCTGGTTCCGGAACGAGAGGGGGTACGCAGATGGGACTGTTATGATTAGGAGTATAGATTAGGGAGTGCGTTCGACATGGGTAATATATTGCCGAAAATAGAACCTGCTAGGTGACCTGAAGGCTGAAACAATGTGTGACGTTTCATTTTCTGGGTGTAATTCGCATTTTGCCTATTTTGTTCTTTCATTGTGGGGCGCTGTTTTGTGATCTGAGGAGTTTGAATAGCCTGAGAAAACAGCCGAAACTTCGCGACGTCAGAAACGAGCGCAGAATTTCCATCCTGATGACGCGTCACTAACCAGCTGTGAGTAGTGCTTCTGATTGGTTGAAGCAAATTTTCACCCAGTTCAAACTGATCTAAGTAGTGACGCGTCATCAGGATGGAGATATAAAGGAGCTGAAGCATATTGTGAACTTTGAGACTTGGGGAGTTTTAGTTGATAAACCCGGTTGGATAATAGAATTAGCAGTTTGTGTTTTCCTGTGACAAAGTATGGGTAATTAGTAGAAACAGAATCAATGCATTATTCAGAGTACTTTTATCGAGACTCCTTCTTCTTTGGATACGTGAAACTTTGGAGAGCTCTTCGCAAAGAAAAATAAACGTCAACACGATGCACTTCAGTAACCTTTCAAACTCTAGCCTAAGAAAACAGCCGACATTTTCAGACCTTACAACTGGTTTCGCCTCGAAATGACGTCTGAGAAACGAGCTCCGAAACTCCATCCTAATTATGCGTCACTACCTAGATCTGTTTGGCTGAAAATGTGCTTCAACCAATCAGCAGCACTACTCACATCTGGGTAGTGACGCGTCATCAGTATGGAAATTCTACGCCCGTTTCTCAGACGTCATTTCGTGTGGAAAAAAGTGGTGGGGTCGCGAAATTTTCGGCTGTTTTCTTAGGCTATTGAAACTCCTCACAAAACAGCGGTCCATAATGAACAAATAAAATAGGCAAAATGCGAAACCCAGAAAATGAAACGTAACATATCGTTTTAGCCTTCACTTCACCTATCAGGTTCTATTTTCGGCGATATGCACGTGTGTGTTAAATCTCAATTCTACCAGGGGCATATTCAGGAAAATTGTATCAGTATTACTTATTTTCAAGCTGCCTGCCGAGAAACATGTTTTATTTGGAAAATTTAAGTGACATGCACGTGGCTGAGCAGATGACGCGATCACCAGACAAAACTTGATAGAAATAATGGCCTATTATTAAAAGTCATCCCTCGAAATAAACCACACGCTTATCATGAGACTATTTCATTTTCATTTGGTCCTTGTTTGTATATAGTGAAAGTACGTATCGCCTAAATTCAAGGGAATTTCTTGTCGCATGCTTTCAGACTCTTCGTCTTCGCCAAAAAGTGTTCAGTTCTGATTGGTTCCAATATAATTTCTTTCCCTTACTTACTTAAATGCGTTCACAGCTCGACAACGAAAGGGAAACGTTTTTGCGATGAAAAGTCCTGAAAATAGAGCGGTACGCAACGAGAGAAAAACTCACGTAACGTACCCACGAGAATTGATTGGCTGCAAAGGCTGAGAGTTCGCAATGGAGGCAAGGCCCTGCAAAAAATATATCTGGGGGCGCCATTTTAGTAACCATAGGAATGTTTGGAAGGTCAAAACATCCTGGCTAGATCGTGTACAGGACACCCAAAAAAGAGAAACAGCCAACTACACACAAAATTGGGGGTTGCATTCTAGTCGAACGCAAAAATGTTACGGAAAAATAGATTTAGGTTAGAAAAAAATGAAATGTTATTGCCGTCGTTCCTTTTTCCATGAAATTAAAACTTGTCAAGACAGTGCAAACTCAAACAATGTAAGTGCAATGGTTATTGTCCAGTAAGTGCAACGATTGTTGAAACCTGTTTTTGATCAAGCTTATGTTATTTCAGTCCGTTTCCCTTGTCTCCTGCTACCTCTTTGCTAAGAAAATGAGCGTGATTATACTTATTGTTATTCTGTTTATTTCCAGATATTGACGAGTGTGCTAGCGGTACTGATGACTGTCACAGTTCGCGTGCTCTATGTACAAACACAGTGGGATCCTTTAATTGTTCATGCAACAGTTCTTACATTGGAGATGGCAGAATTTGCAATCTACCATCAGGTAATTAGGAAAAGATAACGAGGATAATATAAGTAGGAAGATTTTCTTTTATTAAACCCGTACACTAGTGAGTGATGCACCATGCGCTGACCTTGGCTGCTTGAACGTGGTTTTACGTTTAAAATACATTGGCCGGTTTAAAAGGAAAGTTTTTGGGTCCTTCGACCACTGTATGGAAATACCCTTGTTTGTTAAAGAAGTCCTGCAGGAAACGGCCTTGAGAGGGCACAGGATACGGGTCGACTTGAGGGCAAGTCTACATATACTTTAATGCAATTTATGCTGTTACTTTAAGGGGAGTTGACTTTCTCAGTTTGCCAATTAACTGCGATAGGAGTCACTATCTCTATGAGAAACCAAACAACAATAACGAGGCGAATTATAAAAATTACCTATAATCTTAGGAAATACACGTGCCAGTTTCTGAGTCAGAAGTGCACGAACAATTAATTTCCGGATTGATGATAGTCTTATGGAGTCTTTAGAGTGGTATTCTTGATTTCGTTTCTGTAAAAGACTCATCATAGTGCCCGCCAAACAAATCTTGCGGTGCTATATTTTCAGCAACAGGGTAGGATAATGAGGACCCTGCTACGCTTCCTTTTGTCTCTGGTCAAATAACGGATTCAACGATCGATTTTTTGCGTATGTTCTATATTATTTTGTTTTTCTTTGTTTGTTTTTACCCTTACGTAAATTTTAGCTACTTGTAAAAAAATGGCTCAGATGGCTAAATATTCCCTACGTCATGAAGCCGAGCAAGACAGGAATAGCTGACACTTAAGTTGATATCGGAGATCCTTGCTCAATACGTTTAGAAACTGCGTCTTCATTTTTAGTGACCTTGTATAAATATACTATAGTGGTTATACAGAGTGCTTAATAGAAAAAGACTTTTCAGTTAACAGTCTTTTGACAATAGAACTGGCACAGAAAGAATCTCAAAGTAGCGAATCAACGTACGCGAAAGGTTTATAATCAACCTTTTGCCAGAACGTTTTTGTAAATGTCAGTATTGATGATTACAAAATTGATGTCGTTACCTGTAATTATTAACTATGGCCAATTCTGAAATATTCAAGCACTTTTTTATATATGCACGGACCTATTTTCCCTGGGAAATACTTGGCAAAGCTAAAGGCGGTATATGAATCCATGTATTCCTGTATCAAAATTTAACGTCGTGTGTAACAGACTGAGATAACTCATCGGTTTACTGACACAAGTTATAACGATGCCTAACATATACTGCTAATGGGTAATAGTGTTTTCTTCCTGTGCTTTTGTTGGTCAACAGTGAGCATGTGGTTGGGGAAGTTAAAACGTGAAAAGTTCCCCTCTTTTACCTGAAGCTCGCCCCATGTAAGGGAATGCGGATTCCGGAATCCAATAAATTTTTGCTGGTGGAATTCAGAATCTAGGAAATTGCTTGTGGAATCCGGAATCCTAGGCTTTGGAATCTGGAATCCTTCTAAAGATTTAAATCCAGAATCCAAGGTTCCACTGACAAAGACTGGAATTCAGTACCTAGAATCCGGAATTCAAGGCGTGGAACCCAGGATTCAAGACTGTCTTAGATTCCCTTACATAGAGCGATCGAGCTGAATGAAACGTTGCTAGCGGCTGTTGTTCTTTCTCTTCTTTTGTGTCAGAATGTCAGAATTACGGGAGTCTCAACAGCGGAACCCGAAGGACTTCGTATGGCTACGGCTATTACTGTGATAACGGTCTCGGCCCTGGATGGTTCCGTTTCCAGGGGTCTGCCGGCACAAGAATGGCAACATCATGTCCATCTTACCGAAGGTGTGGTACCTATGCTTCCGGCTGGCTAAGTGGAGGACACCCCTCAAAAGCGGACGGTCAGGTCACCAGGACGGTGTATTTTAATGATGGTTACTGCTATTCTTACTCAAAAAGAATCAAAGTGAGAAATTGTGGTTCATATTACGTGTACTATCTTAGTGGTACACCTACCTGTAATCTCCGTTACTGTGGCACTAACTAGACATAAATGCAAACAAAGTCTACATGTCTACATATTCTATCATTTCATTAAAGTAGGCTTTAGTTTAAAAAGAAAGTAACCATCTAAAAAATGACTCTACTTACACTGTAACTTCAGTATCAATATCTGTTTATAATAACTTTATCAAAGTAAGAAAAAGTGAGATAGGACAACGTACCATTTTTAAGCCATTTTGCAGATTATAGCGCTTATAACGTAAACACTTATATTATATAATGGCGACCTAATTTTTAATAACACTATTCACAGAAGGCTTCACAAATGACTTAAATCAGGCGGATTACAAAACTTCTTGACGCAACTAGCCAAAAATGTGTAACTTGGAACCAGTCCTTCCGCGGCGCAAATTTCGAGCAAAAACAAGAAAAAAATTCATGTCAATGAAACTTAGAAAAAACTCCAAAACATGGTATATGAACTAAAAGAACACATCAGTGCTAATTACTGAGTCTAACAACGCCATGCATTTGCTAAATAAACTACGTTGGAGAACATTTTAGTTAAGATGTGGGAAAGGAGGGGTATGAAACTGCTTACTTACTTTTTGATCAGTACAGGGAAACACTCTGTGAAATCGGAAGCGAAATAGATATAAGGACTATGGGTACGGTCAACTCTCGTCTTGCGGAGAACCTGCTATTACGGGCACCCCGGCAATGCTAACAGCAGCTAAATACCTCCCTGTTGCGGAATCTTGTTTGCTATCAAGGACACTAACTCGCGGTCCCGAGGATAACCCCTGCAATAACAACAGTTGACCACACAAGGTTGAACCCTGATATTTGGACTATATTAGGATAGGAGTTTCATTGACCAGTAAAACCACAATTTAGAAACAGTAATAAACTTCTGCTCTTGTAAGTCGGCGTGATTTTACTTACTGCCAGAATCCCTCGGGCTTTTCCTCACTTATGCAAATGAGGGCTTTGACATTAAAACCTCATCGTGATTACCAAATTTTTATAAAAGATTAATCGAAAGGAATTCTGGTCTATGCAGTAAAAGACGCTATCTCGCTTCATCATTGCACACGAGATATGAAGCGAAGACAGCTTATTAAGATCATTTTAAGAATATTAAAGAAGATACATCTTAGATATAATTACCTCTAGACAACTGGAAAAGACCGACTGTCAACTGACTTCTGTCTAGTAGTATGACGCAGTAGTGAATCAATAAAATGCTGTTTGCCAGTTAATTGTTTTGCCTTCTCAAGTTTGGTATGCTATGCTTTATAACTGGAAACTCTTCCCAGACACGACAGGTTGAGAAACGAAGATGAGAAAGCAGAAGGGAGTTAGAGGTGGGAAGAGCGGGAAATAAGGAGCAGAACTGAGCCATCGTTGAGGGGCCGAGGTTAGGCAACGTACATCTGGCGTCCGTTTAAAATCAAAGAATGAAAGACAATACAGAAGATGATATAACATTTTGCTTATTCACTTTTTTTCTCCTGATAAAGTGTACCCAACAGACTCCCGCTAACGGCTGCGCGGGAATTTTAAGGCAGACAAGAATGGCATCCTAATAACAGAACTCCGAACAATCAAAATGCCTGATAAGTTTCAGGATGTTTCAAAACGCCCGAAGTTTGAATAATTATCATAAACTACATCATTCTATAGATGCGCACATTAATCGGTAAATAGTTTTCATAATAAAAAAAAACAAGGTGCATGTGTTACTAATATTATGACTTTTTTCAGATTTTGTTTAGAGCCCCTTTCCTTTGTTAACTTTTTAACTGTTTATTTATCTCTTAGACACATATTTGGCAAATTCTTGTGGCAGTCCGTTGTTTTCGATATGTTTTCGATTATCTAAAACGCTAAATTTGTTAATTACAGTCATTTGGCGACTACGGTCATAAGATGAACAATCGCTTGTGGTAAACTCTACATTTGCAGTTTTGTGTAGAAATTCTTACACAAGTCTCTCTCTCAAAAGAAAAGAAAATATTTTCCATTTTCCGTGTTTATAGTTCGCACAACGTAGTTAACTTCGTCCTCCCTGCAGGCAAATTAGGGACTTTAAGATCCAACGACGCGACGACAACGAGAGCGTCGCTTAAAAAGTGAATTTCCGTTCCTTCATTCTTAATAGCAATTACTCCTACCCACTTACTTTGTCAAATGTGGGCGAACCCTCCTGAAGCTGAATTTCAAGGGTCCATAGCCAAGCTCAGAAAGAGAAATAAAGTTTCTTCGTTGCTTGTTTACGTCCTCTAGAAAACGCAAAGTTAGGCATTTTCACGTCGTAGTCGTGCAAAAACAGGAAAGAAATGTACAAAAAAGCGTGATGCACGTGCGAAGTTGTTGTTTTGCTTAATAAACCAATTGTTTTTTTGACGTTCTCGTTGCCGTCCTCGTCGTTGGATCTTAAAGTCCCTATTACCTGTAAGCAGAACTGAACTTTTCGTCTGAAGTGAAGTCCATGTTTTTCTCTCGTATGCCACTACTTTGTTGTTTTATGCATTTGCTGTCAGTGGCACAATCTCTAGTCTTGTTTCAAATTTACTTGTTCTACTAATATGCATAATACGACGCAATGCTGGCCAATTAAAGGAATACATTGGATTAAAATAAGTAAATAAATAAATAAATAAATAAGATAATGAAGGAGCTTCGAAAAATAGCAGCAGCAGGCAGCCACCATGATAAGATGTAACAGCATGTCTTTAAGCGGGTTACCGCATACCTTTGGGGGGTGTCTCACGAGCAAGTAATGCAGCGCATTCCGGATACAAATGCAAATACCTAAAACCGTATATCAAATTAAAATCTTATTGAACTGGCTTTTTTATTAAACCAACAGTTTTTTTTTTTTTTCGAAACAAAGCACTGTCGATTTTTCTTCAGGATTTTTTAATGCAAACGTCCGAATCAGTTTTCGAAAGCTAAACCTCACAGCCATGTTTATTTTTCACTGATTTGATTTGTTCTAGTCCTTTGGAAGTCAAAACCCTAAAAAAGAGTGTAGGGTTTTTCCCTTTTTCGATGGCGATTAGAAGTTACAGAATAAGAAGTTGGGTGATCGTACAAAAATGCCCGTAAACAAAAGGAAACAAAAGATGCAAAAGGTTTTAAGACAGAAGAAAATAGAAAAGAAATAGATTGAAATTTGATCGTATGGACTCTCCAATGCTCGTTACAAACAGTTCACTCATTGGTGTCAGGCCTTGAGCAATCGGTCTGGCGGTGCCGTCAATAAATCCAAAACAGTTTTGTAATGGTGCACCAGTCTGAGCAACTGCATTATCATATCTCTGCAGTGCTAGTGGATCCATAACTTCTGGATACCATTGGCGTATTTGGTGTTGATGAGTTCTATAAACTTTATTTTATTAGAACTTTGTTCCTAATCATGCTTAACACTGGAACTGGACGTGAAAATCTAGGCACCACATGTCGAGTCAGAGTAACTTAAATAGGGTATTTCAAACATTTGAAAATGAAGTGCCTTGGTTTCACCTGCTGTGCTTTGCACATTGCAGGAAACAGCATATAACAGTTTCAGAGGAATTTGCAGTGTTTCAGTAACCATAAGAATTTCTCGTTTTCGAACTCTAAACTCAGCTACACATTCATCATCTTTTGTTTCGTCGAAGTCAAACGCTGGATACACGTCGTATGGCAAATCCAGGTTTTAAGGCTAGAAGAATCCCACAGTAACAAAAACTCCTTGTCACTGATTAATTCTTGATCATTATCCTAAGAGAAAAGTAATATCTCTCGCCTGTCTAAAGGAAGCCATTACGACTTATTAATTCAAGCCAAAGAAAGTGAGCGAGAAACACCGCAGTTTTGACGCCGCTGACTCAAGGTTCATTAGGGAGCTTTAGCAACGATGACGGCGACGGCAAAAAAGCAATAGGATTATTAAGCAAAACAACAACTTTGCACGTGCATCACGCTTTTTTGTACATTTCGTTGTCGTCACTGCACGACTACGACGTGAAAATGCCTAATTTCTCGTTTTATGGAGGACGTAAACAAGCGCTGACAAATTTTTCTTCTCTTTTTAAACTTGAGTACGGTCCCCAAGGAAATCAACTCTAGGGAAATTCGCCTTCACTTGACATTTTCAGCGAGTTGAAATAGACGCGACAAGAATTGAGAAAACGCGAATTCGTTCTATGAGTGATTTTTTCGCTGCCGTCGCCGTCATCGATGCTAAAGTTCTCTATTGGCTGGCTACAGAGACGTACATGTTCTCCCCAGGACTCGGCATCCACGACCGCCGTAGCAATTTGGTTAAAGTCCCCTATTTTGGTTACAGTACAAAGACGATGCAAACGATGAATAACTACTGCGCGTGCGTGCGGCCAGCATTGTTGAGAAAGGGGAGCATAGTTTAAATGATTCATTGCACTTTTCATCCAAACTCATTTGACATTGTTGAATGATTCTGGCTTGGGTTGAAAAGGTTTCACTTCATTCAAACTTGAACCAACATCATCCAACACCGTCCGACAAGGTGTTCAAACGGATGTAGTGCATCCGACGATCGATGTTGGATGAAGTTGGACGAAGATATTGAAATAATGTTTATAAGGCCAAAAAAAGCAAACCTTTATTTTAGCGAAAATGACAAGTGTTAGTATATCTTGATGCTTTAAAGTCTAAGCCGAAATGTCATCAAAACAAATTTGAAGATTTATCTTAGCACTTTTCTGCCCGGCAAACGTGTCTTTTGAGTCATAAGCGTCGATTGTATTGTCCGAACACGAGAAGGAGATCAGATATTTTCGAATTCTAAGTCTGAAATTAGTGTGCTAAAAATGCGTCCGTAATTCAAAGTTCAAAGACGGTCTTAATTGTTTGATGTAAAGCAGTTAAGACCACCTTTGAACGTGCAAACGGATTCAATCTGGCCTTATGATGTCGCCGAAACGTCGAAACATTATCTCGTTACTTTTTACTTGTTTATGTTTCCCAAAATCGTTATTAATAATTATAATAATTTAGGAATACATACTGTATATTTATATGCATAGACTCCTACGTCAGTATAGCCTGAACTTCGTTAATGGATATATTGACAAAAGCACTTAAAAATAAACAACTAAAGCTAATCATATAAGTGCAAAACAATATACTATAGTGCTTTTACTATAGAATATCGCATTTAATTTGTAGGCAATTCTCCCTTTAGTGAAAACACGGCTATGAATATGGAATAACTTATTATTGGGCACGTCCCATTTTTTTTTTAATTTTTCTTTTGTGTCTGCGGTAAAAAGAACAACAAAAAGCACAATATAATGAGGAAAACGAAGCTTTGAAATTTTGAATATTGGTCACGAGTTAGAGATAGGATTAAATGTTTTCTACCCATTGTACTCACCATGACTATAGGCATCTTGCATGCCGAATAACATCAACGTTTGTTGGAAAAAACTCAGAACTGAGATAAGAATGCAAAAGGAATATTAATTGTAAAAAAAAAAAAAAAGCGATAAAATAACCAAATTCTCCCTCTCAAAACAAATTGAACTTTGACAGGTGATATTATATCCTTGGTCAATACTTTGAAGTTTTCAATAAAAGAGAGAAAATGGAATATCTACCGTAAAATTTTGAATTTAAGTGCCCAGTCATTCACGCAAGATGGTTGGCATCGAAGCGAACGAATAGGGTCTAGAAAAGACAAGTTAAAGAAATTCATTGGTAAGAGAAAGTTTTTTCACGGTTTTGAAAGATCATTGTTTAGTTTTGCATAAAGGGATCTAGGGGTCTTTTTTATCTTTCAAAGGACAGAATATTCTTTCTGCGTTGGGCTCCAGCGTTTTGTGAAAATTATTTTTAGTGTTTGAAAGGTACCATTAAGTTGGCGTAAACGGAAATATTAATGAACTTTTAGCAGTACTGTTTAAGATTTTCATTTTTATGAAACTGTCTCGAAATGTTTTTTTTTTTTCGTTTTAAACACTCAAAGTTTAATTTGTTGAAAAAAAAAAAAAAAAACAATGCCTTACAAAACATTTTTGTCCACTAACAGTATGTATAAGATTTTATTTTTTTTCCTTTGTTTTATAAGTTTATTGTTTAAACTTTTTACGTGGTTTTTCACTTAACCTAGGCGTTATAAAGGCTTATGTTTTGCTGTTAATTAATGTCATATCGCTTTTAATTATTCTTGAAGATTGTTACACGATAATGAAAAAGCATTGAGTATATATCTCTGAATTTGGCCCTTTTTTGCAGTTACGATCATATTTTACAAATTCGATTTGTGACCGTTGAGTGGAAGGTTAAATTAAGTTACCACAAAAAAATTGTGTTGCTGGAGCCCGACTAGATACGAAAACAGAGATTTTCTCGTTTTAGCTTTCCCTCTACACGTCAAAGGCGTTTTCAGTTACCCAAAACGCAGGTATTCGAAAATGGCCCCCGGTGAGAAGTTTTCTCAAAACGACGGCTTATTCTTATCATAAATCATACAGCGCGTGCCCTAAGAGGGATGATTTCGTGTTTCCTTTTGGCGTTTTCCCGTCGACGGGCGAAAACGATTCAAATGGGCTACGTCTGGACGTTTACCAGTTTAATTTGTTGCTTAGTACCGAAGTTCTTTGTTTTGGAGAGCAAAAATATGTTCATTAATAGATACAAAAGTCATGTAGGAAACAATTTTGTCAACGCTGCTTGCGTGATATCCAAAACAGCTTTAAAGCTAATTGTATAAGTGCAAACAATATAATTATACTGTTATAATAGTGCTTTTAGTAAAAAATGTCGCATTTAATTTGCAAGCAATTTCCCTTTAGTGAAAACACGGCTTTGAATCTGGAATAACTTCTGTTTGGACACGTCCTTTTTTTTTTTTTTTTTTTCTTTTATTTCTGCGGTAAAGAAGGCAACCGTCAAAAAGAATAACAACAAGCAAAGGATAACGAAGTCTTAAATTGGTATGTTCGCTCACAAGTTAGGGATAGGATCAAATGTTTGCTTGTATTGCCTGCCCATTGTGCTCACAATGATTATAGGCTTATTGCGTGCCGAATAACTTCAAGTTTTGTTGGGAACAACTCAGATAAGAATGCAAAGGGAATTATATAAAAAAGCAATAATTAATAACCAAAATGGTCCCTCTCAAAACAAATTGAAGTTGACAGGTGACATTATATCCTTTGTCAATACTTTGAAGTTTTCAAGGAGAAATAATGAAACATCCACCGTAAGAGAGTGAATTTAAGTGCTTGTCATTCACGCAAGATAGTTTCTGTTACTTAGCTGTTTTGTGGGATCGAAGCAACAGAATATGGTAGCAAAGACAAGAGAAATTCATTGGTAAGATAATTTTTTCCCGGTTTTAAAAGATCATTGTTTAGTTAATAGCATGAACTGACTCTAAAGGGTTACTGTTTAACCCTTCAAAGGACAGAAAACTCCAATTTTCTTCGTTTGGTTCCGGCTTTTGGTGAAAATTATTTAGTGTTTGAAAGAAGTTGGCCTAAACGAAATTATTAATGGCCTTTTAGCAGTACCTTGAGGAGATTGTCTTGTACCCTTTAGGTTTTTTTATTTTTATGAGACTATCTCGAAATGTTTTTTGTTTGTTTGTTTTTGTTTTTTCGACTTTTGGCACTTTTTTTTTGGCAGTTACGAACATATTTTTCAAATTCGATTAGTGACCGTTAAGCGAAAGGTTATATGAAGTTACCATAAAAAATAATTGTGTTGCTGGAGCCCGCAGAGTTTTTCTCGTTTTAGCCTTCCCCCTACACGTCAAAGGCTTTTTAGGGCACCAGAAGAGTGTGAAGTTTTCTGAAAACGCCGGCCTATTCTTATTATAAATCATACAGCCCATGCCCTAAAAGGGATGATACCGTATTTCGTTTTAGCGTTTTCCCGTCGACGGGCAAAAACGATTCGAATACTAGTCTACGTGTGGAGCAGAAACTGAGAAAAACTCTCTGTTTTCAAAAATATCCGGATAAGCGAGGACGAGGTCTGAAATGATTTTACCGAGTGGTTGGAGAAATATTTTTGCTCGCTTACCAATCGTCTCATTTGCTGTAGAACACTCTTCTAAAATCTTTCAGATTTAAGGTCCTATTAGAACGATTTTAAGATAAAATTAAAAAAAAAAAAATAATAATAATAATAACCGGGATATTTTGAAAAGATTATTCTGGAATGCTTTGTACCGATTAGTTCTCAGCTTTGAAGAGCGAAACTAGTTTTTTTTTTTTTATTTGAAATATGTAAGAAGCGAGGAAAAGACTAAAAACAGAAAGTTTTAGTACTTAATATTTGTTGCCGGAGACAGAAAATATTGGCTCTTACAGGAAGTTGCTTTTAACTGATATTGCGGATTGATTGACGGTAATGGAAAAGTGAACATAACTCAAGTTACTACTATTACAGTTACGAAAACTCTTTTTAAAATCGATCTAAGTTCCCGTTCAGCGGAAAAAAAAAAAAAAAAAGGGGGGGGGGGTTAAATTAAGTTAAAGGGTTAAGAGAGAGATAGAACAAACTAGTGTGAGATTATAAGTCGCCTTGCCAAACAAAGTTAAAGTTGCGAAAATACATTGTGCTGAACCAACAGAGAACGTGACTGTGTCTTTTGTGAAGCCGACCCGTTGAGCTAGTCCCCGTCAATTGGGTTTCGGTCTTTTCACAAAATAAAACTCATTTTCACAAGAAAGGTTTTGCACTTAGCCTCATTTTGAAAGTGAGAGTTTTACGAACTTAGAAATGGTCTATACCATTTCTATTAATGAATGCTTTTGTATAAAAGGTTATTTTAAAATTTATCAAAAATTGGCGAGTAGTCTGAAAACAGTTTAAATTTAGTAATTAATATTGTTGGTTCACTTGTATTATCCGCGACGGGTAATATTGTTTAAACGGCAAGAATAAGTGAATCAAAACGACCTGAAAAATATAAAGATGTATACATTAAATCATATTAATTAAATTCAGTGTAATAAATCATTTAGCCCCAAATTGTCTTTTTAAGGGTATGACAATGAGGCAGCTCTTTCGTTTATCAGTTCTTTTTGTGTTGGGTCAGCTACTCTACAAAACAGTAACTCAGCGATGTGGATCCGAGATATCCATCTTCGGCTGGATGTTACGGGGACATATCTACAACAGGATGTTGGCAGAACTCCCACACACATGCGTGCAAGTTTGTCGCGAAGACAATCGATGCCAAAGCTTTAACTGGGTGATCTCTCTCCTCAAGTGCGAGTTTAGTAACAGAACTAAGGAGGCCAGACCTGAGGATTTCATTTCAGATCCAGACAGATTTTACTACAAACGTGATAAGAACAGAGGTAAAAAAACAGTTTACCATTCATTTTAAATAATTGCGATGACTGACGCTAATCAGTTGTCAGTCAAATTTGGACAACCACATCTCGGGAGTTAATGATAAAAAGTAAGCCGTTCAAATGCAACTGTCCCGATAAAAGAATACCAAATGGTGAGTACTTTCCAATTACTTGGGCGCCGATGTCAGGGCAACAGATAACCAATCAGTTAAAGGATTATATTAAAGCTGTGATGAAGCTGCTTTCTCTAAAGCATGATTTAGCTAACTAACTGTCTATCAAATAATAAGCGAAATTATATGTCTTCTTTTAGTACCTCTAGGTTCTATTCCTGAACTACCGGCTGAAACCTGTTTAGAAATAAAGATGAGTGAAGGTCATGCAATCAGTCGAAAGTATTGGTTTTCTTCCCTTAAAACTGGCACGTCCGTTCTTGCATACTGTGATATTAAAACTGAAGGTGAGTTTTAGTTTTAAAAGGTAAGCTACAGATGAGCTATGGGGAAAGAAAGTCGAAAAAGGGAAAACTGAGAATGTTTTTGAGATGAAGAGAATAATTTAGTCTATAAAATAATCTTCAACAAGAATAATGCTCTTCTATCAACGTATTTTCGATTTTGCCATTAAATTTCCTTTGAGGTGAACGGTTAAATTGTGAACAGATTTTAGAGTTATATTCATCTGTTGATGTTAATGGCGTAGGGAGTAAATGAGAATTCGGTGGAAATAAAATATTTCTACAGCAAAGAAGTAGTGGCGACTGGGGCTGAATAAGTTGAAGTGCAAGTCTAAACCGTCGTTCAGTCCTGCATGCTTTATGCTATATGCCAAATGCGTGGACGTATTTTAATGTTGCAGGTTAACGTTTTGGTATTATTTTCGGTGCTCTCCGCCAAAACTACCAAAATAGTACTAATTGTTTCTATTTCTGTTGTACTGGGGGTGGAGATGGAATTCTTTGATCAGTCGCAGATGCAAGATCTACCTTTCATGAATACAATAGAGCACAATCTATGCTCATCCTATCAAAAGCGTGATCGTGAGAAAAAGGCCTTCATGAGCCCGGGCAAGGTCTTTGTGTTGAATCAATCGTTAATTCTGGGTGGAGATTGTTAGAAGTTGTACTGACATGGGTATACTTCCGTTAACAATGTGAACGTTCCTTTGCAAACCTGAGTCCAATCTATAGTTGTTTGTTAACATAATTAATAGGTATTTTTATTTCTTTTGTCATTTATCGGGAAATGCATAAAAGCAATTGACGTAACGATAAATGGTATAAATCCAGCCTCGTTCCCAGCCATCTCCTGCGATTTCGGATGTGACGTCACCTGTCAAGCTTGTCGGGAAAATTCACCGAGGAAGTCCTCGCGCTATCGTGCTCGGTTCTAAACCTCCTCTGGTTACTCGGATAGCGCGAACTGGCCTGGGTACGAGGCTGGTACAACTCAAGTTTTCTCGCATACATCAAGACTAGAATCCGAGCTTAATAGTTTGCCATCTTGTCCAGTTAACATGCTAACACATAACTTTAGCCTGCCAGCAATGGGAGAGCTTGCTCGCAGGGTACTCGACATCCAACCCTTGATTTTATTATTCAGATATCGACGAATGTACTTCTTCTGTACCTCTCTGTGACGTCAATGCAACTTGCACCAACAATGATGGATCTTACATCTGTATTTGCAAGAATGGATTTTCTGGTGACGGGAAAACTTGCAAAGGTAGGAAAAGTTGTTTCCCAGATCAATTTTTGATGCAAATTTTACCAGGATTTAGATTCTTTTGCGACACCAAAAGAACATTCTTCATCGCCCCATGTAGGGGAATCCCGATTCCGGAACCCGTGAAATTTTGATTGTGGAATCCAGAATACAGGTCAAGGAATCCGGAATCCCACTAAGGATTGGAATTCAGGATCCAGATTCCATTGACAAAGACTGGAATCAAGTACCTGGAATCAGGAATCCACAGCCTGGAATCCAGAATCCAATACTGTCTTGGATTCCCTTACATGGGGCAAATTCTTCAAGTTAAATCCTTAATTTCAATGACATAATTTACATTTGTACGCCTTGAATTACCTTAAGTATGAAGAGGTTGTAAATAATTCTTCTAGCTTGCATTCGTCTCCAACATTTAAAAGTAGTCACCGAACGCCTAGCTTAAGGTCATTATTTTTAAGAAGGCCAAGGAACAAGAGGTTGTGGAACGAATAACAATATACTGTTCAAGATCGGTGTCCACAATAATGACCTGCTGATTCTAAGAGATCTAGAAATGGAAAGGTAATTTTTAGACGGCCGAAGAGCGAAGGCATTATCCTACGTATATAATACAGGATTACTAAACGTTAACTGAAATACACAACAATTCAAATATAAGAAGAAAAGGAAAAAGTTACTATGGTTAACAGATTCACAAATAGCTCACTTCGGAAAAGAGTGATAGCCTGGGACCCAAACTAAGCGCGCGCGCATTTATGGGATTGTTTGGGGGGACCAAGTCGAGCAGCAATCTTGAATTATGACGAGACATGCAAGTTGTTGTTTGTTTTTACAAATAACTTCAGGAACTCCTAGATGGCATTTTGTAGAATACCAAAGGCAAGACGTTTCCAGCGAGAATATCAGCAGAATATGTACGTTTTCTTCGGAACGCTAATTTGAAGCTGTTTCACTTTGCGTTCTTCTGGTTTTTCTCGAGGTAAAATCACCCCAGGAACATCTTCCTCCAGCTTTAGCTATTTTTACCTCGCTGAAAATTCCACTTCGCTTACCGCCATGTTTGTTTACATTCGCGTCTCACCAAATAATCCCATAAATGCGCGCGTATCTAGTTTGGGTCCCAGGCTATCACTTTTTTCGGAAGTGAGCTATGTTAACATATTTAAAAACCTTAGTGAAGGATATCCATTTTCAACAAAATTGCTACCGCGCGATCACCATGTGGTGGTTTTAAGACAGGCTGCATTTCAAGATTAAAAGCACACCGTTAAAAGACAAAAAATGGAAAGAGAAAGTGCTCAATTTTCTTTTTGTGGAGCCAGTAACGAGAGCCTCGACTCTTGTGCCGCATCAACACTACTTTTCGGTTAGTAAAACAGCAGATTTTTTAAACTATCCTCAAACAAAAGGCTGCACAAAAAAGGAAAAATGCATACCTTCCGGTCCTTCAATCATCAGAGGATCCGAGATCCGCCCCTTCTAATTGGCTGTGAAGCAGCCAAATGGAAAGAAAAGGGGGAAAAACACATGTGCTTAATTGGCACTAGGAGTCCTCCAAAATAGACTTGCCCGTTAAGGACAAAATGAAAGAGTAAGCGTCGTAGCAAGGGAAAAAAAGGCCTTGTAGGCAATTAATAAATTCCCTTTTTTATACCTTTACAAGAAGGTTAAAATATATTTTGTGGAAAGCGTGAGCGGGCTTGTCAACTCTTTCACAGTATTTTCAATTTTACTACACATTCAGCGAATAAGAATAAAAATAGTATTAATTCCCTTTGTTTTAAATAGTTGATCAACAAAAAGGTGGACCTCTCGGGCCTGTGAGGGAAGTGAGCGCACCCGTCGCACCCCCCTCCCTACGGGCCTGTATTCAGTAATATCCAATAATCCAATAATATAGTCAGCATCTCCAACTTCTGGGCATGACCTGATTGACACAGTGACGTAGTCTGATGGCAGAATTATTGGCGGAATACAAATTTCCTTTAGCAGTATAAGAAGCAATTACGCCACGCAAAAACTCACAAAATCTGATGACACTATTGTGTTTTCATTAAAAAATACATCAAACTAAAAACTAATCTACACCAGATGAATTTCTAAAATATATATATTCGATAAAGTTGTAAATATAGTTTCTTTTATGTGCAGACATAAGTTTTTTTTCTTGTAACGTATTTAATCATGTATTGGTTTCTCGAATATATTACATTACAAGCTACTCCAAAATTCGGGTGTAAGTATAATAAAGATTATGTGTGTATGTATGCAAACTACTTGCTTTTAAATTCTTATAATTGTAACAACATGTTTGTATGTAGATATCGACGAATCCTCTACCAGCTCTTACAGCTCTGACGTTAATGCGGTGTGTAGTAATAGTGTGGGATGTTACGCATGTTAAAGCAGGATTCACAGGCGATGAAAACACCTGCACTGCTGAGCCGTTTAATTGATATGTTTGTTTTTGGAGTAAACCGGCAACAACACAGCAATACAACATTCTTTATTTGTACTCTTCTTGCCCTTCCAATAATGTTTAGGCTAGATGGGGAAAAAAATTACAGTAGAAATGACCGCTTGGAGTAAGTGAACAGACAAGCGATGTCAAGCAGTCAGATTATGAAAGCAATAAAGTACAGGCGCCGGTTGTATAAGTGCAACATTATGGATTGTTCAAACTTGCGATCATTTTTTCCTTTTCTCAAGTTTAAAATAATTAATTCCGTGTAACTTGTTTCGCCTTTGCAAAGAAAACGATTACAAAGGTTATGATTACGCTTACTTGTACTGTTCCGTTTTTGTAGACATTGACGAGTGCACCAGTGGCACTCACAACTGCCACAGTTCATTTGCTTCATGTACAAACACAGTGGGATCCTTTAGTTGTACATGTAACGGTCCTTCCAGCGGAGATGGCAGAACTTGCAATCTACCATCAGGTGATAATTCGCCAAATATTATGGGTAGATGTCCATTCACTAAACCCTTATTTACACTCATAAGAGGCACATTATCCGGTGGGCGGGGGGTTAACTAAATTTTTGCTGGGTATGTGCCGCTGGCTTCTCAGAGCTTCTACCCCTTTACCCTTTATAGTCTATTCTGTGACCAATTATAGAACCTATCTTAGTCACTTTTGGGCAAAAAAATATGTAATTTTCTCGATCCCAACTTAGTCACTTTCTTTTTTCATGAATTGACCCATTTTTTAACTAAATGAAGAACACTTTACTTTTAACCTACAGTACAAACATTCTGGTACCTTTCCTAACCGTAAATATTAAGAACTGTCTTACTCCAAAAAATACGAAAATGTGCCAAACCATTCTAGTAACTCTGTTGAAAATGCGATCCCATTATAGTCAATCCGGACTTGAAAATACGACCCCATCCAGCGGCACATTAGCCTCTTATAAGGAAGTTCCCCCCGCCTCCCCTCCGGGACATTACTCCAACGGGGATTCAGTTTAATGTTAATATTACCCAGATCTGTTGTCGACGAAAACAAAAGCGAGATCTGGTCAATTAATCAAATTCAATTTTCTTTTTTTATTAGTCAATCAAACTGCCAAGGTATAGTGGGGGAGTGGCATGAGTATTGTTACGAGCGCGCGCTATGGTGTCTGCAACTAATTCGTCACAAAATCTTTTTCTGGTCGTTTCCCCTTTTGCTTGCCTCTTTACGATGCACGAATACGTGTATCGATCATGATCGGCTTTGCACAAGCCAAGGTCCATTGAAGAACAAGAGAATGGAAAAATTTCCTCTTTAAGATTTCTTATATCAAGTAAATTCTTGTATTGCAACAGTTCCCTTACTAGTGACTTCTAATATGTAGGGATCGTATCGTCCATCATTCTTCTTCCCAGAGCTTCGATCCTTTTGCGGGTCAGCGTCGGCGATCCACGCTGACCAAAAGGATCGAAGCTCCGGGAACGAGAACGCCCGGTTAGATTGTGCTTATATTCGTTTCGTACCTACCAGACTACGCCAGCCTTTAAAATTACTGTTTGAGTTTCCTACATTTCTGTTTTTTTTTTTTTTTTTTCTCAACAACCTCTTATGCTGAGCAGTTTTTCAAGACAGTGGTTTGGGGATTAACGGACTAATTCTTATAGACATACTGCAATAATGCACTACATAATGGTAGTTTCTTGGTGATGAGGAGAAGAAAACTAATCAATACTCACAACACCAAACAAAAGTATCGGTTTCGGCAACACCAAGAAACACCCAAAATAACAGATAGAGTTCAGTACTCCATAGAAAAGTACAAGAGTACGATTTTTAGTCGCGACTTGAGCAAGAAAATAGAAGAGGATCTGAAACGTTACGACAAAGACCACATTAGCTGCCATGAAATGAAAGGATGGACTCATGATCAGTGGCCAATTTCAAACTTTGAGCATCATCGATCAAAGGTTTCTTGGTCCATTTTTTTACGAGAGATAAAGAAGCTTCTAATTCAGTCTGAGGAAAAATACGAGTTGAAATGGCTGAAAGGTTTAATGTAAATACCATAAATAAACATAAAATGTTAAAAAACTTATTCACAAAAATGTCGAAGTTTTTTAACTGAGAAATCACCAGACTAATCCAATTTCACGACTGTTTATTCATCGATCCAAGAATAAGTTGGTGAAGTGATTCTTACATGCACCAGTCACTGACCGGTTTGCAATTGCGCAAAACTTAATTTATATCAATTCCCATTATGTCGCGTCGCATCGCAGTTAGATGTCGCGACACTCTCTTCGAACGTTTTTCCCCCTTGTACGATTCAGAATAACCGTGGAAATTTCTTTAAATTGGATAGCTGTTTTGCGAAGGCAGGTAGACACTTAGGGCCTATTTACATGGAGGTGGGGGTCCCCAGATGGGTGAGGTGACCCGCTTAGGTAGGGTAACCCGTCTGTCCATACAATCTCTCATATGGTCACCCCCACCTATTATGTAAACTTGATCAAATTAAAATGAGAGATTATATGGACAGAGGGGTTACCAACTACACGTGAACAGGTCTTTAAACTGTGTACTTGAGGTTGTACAATGTATTTTCATAATAATATCTGACCAAGCTTTGTTATTTTGGCTACTTTTGTGTTCCCATTTTTTTTTTCAGTTAAAAAGAAAAAAACCGTTATTTAGCAATCCTATTGAAATGAAATATTTAGCGTGAATAGTAACAGTTTATCAGCCTACCTCATAAAATGGCTTTTCAGCCAACTTTACAATTGCAATTAATTGAAAGTATAATTATCTACTTTACAATACGTGAAATTTATTGGAAAAAATGGAATAAATAAGGAAATGACGCTTCTTCACTTCAGCCTTAAGCTGCTCGAGATTCTTCTATATTACCTAAAGTTTCTGCAAAGTCATTCCAGAGGCGGACTGCTCATCGCCGCTGACCGGTAGTGAATCTAAAGGAAGGCATGTCTAACTTGTTTCTGTTTCCGATATTACGAGAGTGCGCATCGACCATTTTCTTAAACCTGTTATATATAATGGGCTGGGCAAGTCCCTTAACATATGTTAAATAAACTCGAATTTTTTTAAGGCTTGTCAAAAAAAGCAAGGTATGAGTTTTATCACTGGTTAGAAAATTTTGCGCTTATGACGCTCGAATGTTAAACCAGAGATAAAACACTGCTGTTCTAGTTTTAAACATTTCTAAACACGGAACGCTTACAGACTAGAAAACGATTGTTTTTCCTTTTCCTACATTGAGAGTTACCTTAGAATCAAACACGAGTTACACGCGAGTTACCGCTGACCGCCCGCAAAACTGTGTTCAGCCACCTTAACTGGGTTCTACTGTTAGTAGTTTCTTTTTGAAAGGCACGATGTTTTTTAATGATCCTTTTTCCAAACTTTTGTTAAAGTTAAAAGCAAATCGACGCCAGGTCAGCAGCAACATTGTCAAATTTTCTAGTAGATTCACTCGCCTGGGGCTCGTGTTCGTGGATCCAAAACACTTCGGACAATGTTATGATGTGATTTTATGATCAATAAGAGGACAGACGATAAAGAAACTAGCGTCAATGTGATGAATTGAACCAATTTCAGTGCATAAAACTATTATTTAACTTACTATCCATACTTCATCGTATGTAGCAGAGATCACTCATCCATTTGCAAGGGCAGATCGAGGCAGCTTAAGAATACCTACAGATGTATTTGTCTCCCTTTCCCATGTTATTGCTTAACCTCGGTCTACCAGTGTGTGAAAGTCGGTAACCAATCCTCAATCAGCGCGTATGCAGACAGAGTTCGCGACAGTGGGGCAGGCGCTGGGGGATCTTAGAGGACGGGAAATTTACCCCCTTTAAATCTGTTTATGTACAGTCGATAAAACTTTACGAAACCAGTTGAACTACAAGAAATACTAAACTATTAAATAATTTTCTAGCTTTTAAAAGTTAAATTAATTCTTATAATTACTATTATTTTATTTTTTTCTATATCAGAATGTCAGAATTACGGAAGTCTTGACAGTTATACCAGAAAGATTACGTACCGTTATAACCACTATTACTGTGACAGTGGAATCGGACCTGGATGGTTCCGTTTCGAAGGGTCCGCAGGCACAAGAATGTCAACTTCATGTTCACCTACAAACAGATGTGGCACAAGCGCAACCGGTTGGTTGAATGGTGGACACTCAACAGTAGCAGACGGTAAGGTCAGCCGGACGGTGTGTTTTCATTGGAATAGTAACTGCTGTTACTGGGCAAGAAACATCATAGTGAGAAATTGTGGTTCATATTATGTGTACTATCTTAGTGGTACACCTAGTGGTCAATGCCATCTCCGTTATTGTGGCACTAACTAAAAACAAGGTGCATGTAAAGTATTATATATTCTATCATTTCACTTAAGTAGGCTTCATTGTATTAAAGAAATAAAATGGGAAAAAACTGCACTTAACTTCAATATCTGAATTTGTATAACTTAAAGAGAAAGAGAAAGAAAAAACTGTGAGGTAGCACTTATCCCACTAGCGTTAGCAAGCAAGAACAGTTTTCTTGAAACTTATTATGAGGATAAGTATTCTTTTGGCCGTTTTGAAGATCTAGTAAGAAATAGATAATTATGGTAAATACACCGTAATTTTTAGGGAGTTATTATAACTCCAAAAATGTAAAAATTTTAGGTACAGGATAACCCCTTTTTTGGGGTTATTTTAACTCCTAATTTAACTCCGAATTTGGGGTCATTTTTACTCCTGAAAAAGAGTTCTTTTTACTCCCAGTCTGGAGTTAAAATTACTCCGAAATGGGGTTACTTGTACTCCTTACATGGGTTGTTTTTACTCTTTTTGGAGTTAATTTAACTCTGAAAATGGAGTAAAAATTTTAGGTACAGGATAACTCCTTTTTTGGGGTTATTTTAACTCCTCAATATCTGGGGTCACTTTTCAGGGTTCTCAATAGTTTTTTAAGTAGGAGGTGATCACTGATAAAGTAGGAGGCTCTTCAGCAAAGCCAGAGGTGTCAAAACAACGCAAAGAAAAGCGACTTAAACACAAAGTAAGCGGCTATAAATCCCAAAGTAAGCGGCGATCAATCGCCGGGTGCCGCCTTCTATTGAGAACCCTGCACTTTTACTCCTGAAAAAGAGTTCTTTAAACTCCTTTTTGGAGTTAAAGTAACTCCACGAAAAATAACTCCACTGTAAGGAGTTAAATTAGCCCCACTAGAGGAGTTATTATAACTCCCTGAAAATTACAGTGTATAGTTTTCACTACGTCTCTAATTGCCCCCAATACAACAAAAACAATCCAAATCAGTATTTTATTTCATCTGAAAAATACTGTACAGTGTCACTCATTATTATGTCAGGTTAGTGACACAGAGGAGAGGCACAGATAAGAACCAGAATTCTTCAGGCTAAGATTTTGAAAGAAACTGATGAAGTAGAAATGTAAAAACAGATCGCTATGAAGTTCTTAAAGTCAACTAATCATTCTAATGGCAAAAAAAGTTTCTATTGGCTTAAATTGCAGTCATTTAGACATAACAACATGCATATTTTGTACAAACATTTAAAACCCCCAACATTCTTCCAAAAAGTCTTTTTTCCTTAAGAAAATAAGAACCTCGAATGTTTGAGAACCTAAACAGCTTAATTTCCAAGAAACAGAAAATTTATAAGAGCCTTTTGAGGCTAACTTCGAAAAGCACCTGTTACTTAGTTTTTACTGTATACTACTAAATGTAAGAGCAGGGGGGGAGGGGGAGGAAGAGTTAGGGTTAGGGTTAAGGTTAAGGTTGGGGTTAGGAATAGGTTAGGGTAAGGACTAGGGATAGGTTAGGGTTAGAAATCAGATTAGGTCGAGGTTGGGGTTAGGGTTAGGAATAGGTTAGGGTTAGGTTGGAGGGTTAGGGTTAGACGAGCAGTCTCAACTGATTTCAATGGTCATAATGATCCACTGAGTTAAACGTTCGCCTTGTCAGGAAAAGGGTGTTACGTTAAGCTGGTTAGGGTGGATAGCTAAAGTTGAGCCAAGGCTTAGGGTTAAATAAAGATAAAGGTTAAAAGAAGTACGGTTTGTTGAGGGTTAACGTTTGAGGGGCTTCTGGGCAGGATACCAAATTATGTTGCGTTACATACATATCAATTACATCGCCGTACTGAGCGTAGGATTGAATTTCAAAAGACGGGTCAGGAGGTGAGAAATACAGAGATGTAGTTTCAATACAGGCGATTTTCGAAGACTAATCACTGGTCAAGCAAATAGTTTTAAATTAACGTTATCTTACAAGACGTTTCGCTTCGCTTTCTTCGTGTTTGACCACAGCAGAGCACAGATAATATAAACATTTCAGAGAGTAAATATTCCAGCCCCGAGGGGGCGAGTAAAACCAACGGCCACATCTTAAAGAAAAGGACAAAAGGAAAACCATGTTTAAAGAAAATTCCTCAACACGTTTTTAAAAAGTAGTATATCTCTTCTACATCATTTTCCCTAGATCAGTTTCATCCCGCAATGGTTTTATAATCGCCGTACCGGTGCATAAAGCAGATTAAAAACATAGTACCGAACATTCCGGAGAATCAAGCATAAACGGCGCTCGTCGTTGCGACGGTGCTATAGCGCGGGAACTTTAACATGCTTTGAGGAAAAATAGTTACTCTTCCGCGATCCGATCAGCATTTAGCTTGCAATGCCAACAATAAATTGAAAATGAACGACAATTCAGCCTGTGCAGTAGGACGGCGGCTCTTTTTGGACACAGTAAATTTCCAGAGTCGCTCGACACATGACCAAAAATAAACCTTCGCTATACGAAACCACAGACTTTGACTTCAACTACACTTTCACGACTTTGTAACATAACCTTTCCTGGCAAAAAGCCTGCTACTCACCGTTGTTGCTCGCTTATTCAAAGATCAGCACGTCCGTCCGTCGTAGAAACTGAAACACAACAACAGAACAGTCTCACTGTAATGGTCAAATATTAAACATGCTTTTAACCTTTCTCGCAGTGCATTCTGGGAAATCCGTGTTCAACTCGTGCGGGACACATTACATCCTGGCAATAACAACACAATTTATAAGTCTCCAGGAAGGCAAAAATCACAGCCAAAAACTTCGTTGGCCCTCTTTTCTTATGTCCAAACTAACCAATTTGCCCCTTATTGCCTGCTGGAGACTTCTTCACGGTGTGCAGAGCTAGGCAGAGACGTTATACACCTTCCACCGGATGGTCTCTCGGATTGTGCCCGAAGCTCGGTTCTTAGAGCAACGAGCGCCCATTTAAGCCTTCCCGGACTTAATGATGTCCCAGGCACTTTGCAAACCGTGGAAATAGGATTTCTTGCCAAACTCGGCTCATATTAGTCCCCGTTTCGCACACGCTCCGATCAAAACTCCTTTTTGGAGTTAAAGTAACTCCACGAAAAATAACTCCACTGTAAGGAGTTAAATTAGCCCCACTAGAGGAGTTATTATAACTCCCTGAAAATTACAGTGTAAGTATGGTAGTTATGGTAGAACTTACCAGGAAGAAATATACACTGAGTCCAAAAACATCGTGCACTGTTGTTAAATAAACTGCGATAGACGGATGTTTTATCTTGTGGCGGGGTATGAATCTGCTTACTTGATAGGTATAGCGGATGCACTCTGTAAAATCGGAAACCAAATGTATAACTAATATAGGTACAGTCAACTCTCGTCTTGCGGACACTCAAGCAATAGTCGAACAGCAGCTGAATTTTCTTCGTAATTCAGACTCTTGCTTGCTAACAAGAACACTAACTGGCGGTCGCGATGGGAACTGCACTATGTTGAGGCAATTTGTGGATAAGGCTTGGAGTTTCTTTGAGAAATAAAAGCACAAACAGTTTAATGAAACACCTGTCGCATGGATTTGTTTTTATTGAGAATGACGATAGGCTATTTGCACGTTGGCGTCATTTTACTCACTACCAGAATCCTTTAAACCGCCGGATTACATAAAGCGTTCTACCGGTTATGGAGCTAAATCCAGGCCAGACGGTGAAAATTTCCTGAGTGTGAATCAAATGTGCATCTCGTGTCAAATGTCAATCGTATACTTGCGCGTGTTGAAAGTGAAAAACACAACGAATCGACTCTAGAAAGAAAATCGAGTTTAACTAGGAATTAAGAAAACGTTTTTGACCCCGGCGAGATTTCAGCAGGCTTTCACGCTAAGATACAGGTTTTTCGGGATACGGGATATCCCTTATTTGAAGCTCGGGATTCGGGATTTTAAAGCGACATCGGGACGAGATGCGGGATTGACGGCAAAATTGCGAGGGAGAAGGGTTGCCAAAACTAACTCTCGGGAACCCATTAGGAGCCCTCTAAGAGTGACAGCCTTCTATCTCCAGTCGTTCATTACAGATCCCCCGTCGTTAGCCGATTTGGAAAGTTTCGTCTTAACTCACATCTTTCTTGTCCACTTTTCCAAATACTCCTGCCGTATAAAAACACCGAGCTAGTTCACGCAGTTGTCATGCGGCATAATTTTAGTCGATTTGCTGTGGTATCACCCCTCCGGCCTTTTCAAGCCTTACCTTATTAACATCTCCTTGAATTTAAAGCCATCTTCATTGCTTAAATAACGCTTCCCAAATAAATAAAGTCATCAATGAATTCCAGTTTCGAGGCATCTGGGGTGAGAGCATCGCCTTGTCAGCGCTCCGTGTAAGGAGATACAGGACAGTTCTTGATTCCGGATTCCAATCGTTAGCCCTCATTCCGGATTCCTTGAGCTATATTCTGGATTCCAAAACCCAGGACCCCAAATTCCACGAGCAAAATTTCCAGGATTCCAGATTCTATAAGCAAAAAAATTTCCGGGATTCCGGACTTGGGTTCCTTGTATGGCGCGAGACTTGGGCTCCTTACAAATCCGATTACTGTCGTTTTCCTCTTAAAGATGAATTCGATTACTCGTAATCAGCACTTCAAGATGGGCAAAGAAGGTCCAACTGTATACTTCTTTGTTGACCTGTATCTCTCAGTGATGGCAAAGAACAGTACTAGAAATCATCAAATAATGCCTTTGAGAGCGTATTGTGAAGAATGATTTTGGATTAAAAGTGGTCGTAGAAAAGGCTTATGTCACACACAGTAATTATGTGATCGTCCCAGCCTCTTCCTCCGAGGAAACCGGCCTGTTTTTCTCTTGACAGGAACCTCCGTGTTATCCTCGTGCATACTTCGGATGGCAGCCAATCCAGTTTTCAGGCGGGTACATCTCCGTGCTTACACGCTCGCTGCCGCACTTGCCACTACATTTCTAGCGAAACTATTTTCCGTGGCCCTCAAAATTATTTTGTCATCAAGAAGGCGTTTAA